TTTTGGCGGCGGTTTACAGACCGTTGATGTCACGGCTGGATGTTTTTAAGCTTGTGTTTTTGATAACGGTGAGTTTTCTCTGGGTGGTTGAAGGACTTGAAGCTAATTCGTGCAGGTTGCTGTTGTTTCTACCATGTATGTTGATTTTGAGGGGGGTTTTGTTGAGGTTGACTAACGCAGACAGCCCCTGGGACTCATATCTCATCAAAAATCGAATATGGACTTATCCTCCTGGTGTCGTGGTCGGTCTGACAGCATGGGATATCCCAGCTGAAGAATTATTTTTCTTCGTCATTCAGACTTTTAACACCTCTCTACTCTACATGATTCTCAGCAAACCAACCTTTCACCCTATTTACCTGTCAAAGAAGACGGGCTGGGGTAAAATTGCTGGCCAGATTCTTTTCGCATCAGCTATTATTTTCGGCCTCGTTTCTGTTTCCTCTGGTGGCGAGGGGATGTATATGGGCCTTATCCTCATTTGGGCTTGTCCATTCCTCTTATTCCTATGGTAATACTCAACTTGAGAGACTGTTTCACGCTGCATATGCTAACCATTGGCAGGTCAATTTCGTATCAGTTCATTGTGAATCTGCCTTGGATGAATACTGCGCTTCCTATTGCTTTGCCAACCTTGTATTTGTGGGTTGTTGACACTTTTGCGTTGCGACGGGGAACGTGGAGTATCACTTCTGGCACAAAATACGGTGTCGTCTTGTGGGATGGCCTGGACATTGAGTAAGCGACCATTCTCCTGAGAGATGTGACTATACTGACAATTTCCAGAGAGGCTGTCTTTTTCCTTCTGACCAACACCTTGATTGTATTTGGCCTCATCGCTTGTGACAACAACCTGGCTGTCCTCGACACTTTCCCTGAGCATTTCCCTCGGACAAAGGGAGTGCCCAACTTGCTTACAATCATCCGAACTCTGATTCTACCTAAAGAGAAGTATGATGAAGAGCGCATTCAAGGTCTTGTCAGCGCAGTTGCTCTACTTCGCAAGAAGAGCCGAAGTTTCTATCTCGCAAGCGGCACTTTTGAGGGAAGACTCCGCATCGACCTGATTCGTTTGTATGCGTTCTGTCGAGCTGCCGATGATCTCGTTGATGAGGCTCCATCTGTTGATGATTCCAGAGCCTCTATCGAGAAGCTGAGAAAGTTTCTTGATCTGGCTTATGAAGAAAATCAAGAAGAACCTTCACAAAGGCTACGAGAATATGTCACGTCCAACATCCCGGAGATGTTCCACATGGCTCTTCTCCAACTGCCTACTTATTATCTGCCAAAACAACCTCTGGACGATCTTTTAAAAGGCTTTGACACGGATCTTCTCTTTGATAGAATGTCCGGGGCATTCCCTATTGAGACCACCGAAGATCTTGATATCTATGGGAGTCGCGTAGCTGGAACCGTCGCAGAACTTTGCAACCACCTCATTCTCTACCATACCCCAGAATTTGTTCCCGAGGACATCCAGCGCGAAGTTGTCGCTTCAGGTCAAGAAATGGGCATCGCACTCCAATACGTTAACATCGCACGGGATATCAAAACCGATGCAGAAATTGACCGCGTCTATCTTCCCCTCTCCTGGCTCAAAGAAGCCCAGCTCACTCCTGAAGATGTAATTCAACAACCCCAAGGCCCTACCATCGAAGCTCTCCGTCAGAAATTGCTTGACCGTGCTTTTGAAAAGTACAACATGGCAAAGGGCGCTATTGATAAGCTTCCTTCAGAAGGAAAAGGTCCAATTCGCGTTGCTGTTGAGAGCTACATGGAAATTGGACGCGTTCTTAGAGAGAAGGGTCCTACGATGAAAAAGGGCAGGGCTACCGTTCCTAAGATGAGACGAATTCGTGTTGCATGGTCTGCATTGAACAAATAGCGGGGTGAAGCGTGGAGGATGTAATGGTAGATGTCATAGATTCATAGATTATTCATTTCATTCCACTCGGAGTTTCTGTATTCTAGTGTAAAGAATGTCTCGGATTATTGTCTTCTCAACCCTTGGAATTGGTGTTGTGAAGTCTCGTGGCGTCCTAATTTCGTAGCCTCGCCGTTGACATTTTGACAGCACCACCACCGTAAACCCACCAACCAATCATTCAATACGGATCCCCATCACCAAATCCGCTAAAGACCTCCCAAACCGAACCCGTCAATGATCGTCAACGCATCAACGACTTCAATTCTCCTCTAATCTTCAATGAATCACTTTAATCCCTCAAATACAGACTGCGCCTCGTTCAGCGCAGGGTAACTTAGGCTTTCACATGTACGCCAAGTGTCTCATTAAACGAGTGCGAAGGAAAAAGTGGATCAAAACAAAATGGAAGACGTCATTGACTCTATTGCTCTGACTATCAAAACCGTTGGTTTCGGGTGAGTCGGTTATTCACTGAGCATCTTCACTTTTTACGGCCAAAATGAGCGACATTAAGAAATCTGTTATTGTTATTGGTATGTTACTCCTAATATCATGAGCTATGAGAAGGTATTGACTGACAGTTACCAGGTGCTGGTGTCGGTGGTGTTTCTACTGCTGCGAGACTCGCAAAAGCTGGCTTCAAAGTCACTATCCTCGAGAAGAATGACTTTACCGGTGGACGTTGCTCTCTAATCCACAGCGATGGCCACGTACGTCTTCCTTCTCACTCTCTTTACGCCTACTAACCTTGTCAGCGCTTCGATCAAGGTCCATCTCTTCTTCTCCTCCCTCGCTTCTTCCACGAGATCTTCCAAGACCTAGGAACATCTCTAACTGCTGAGGGCGTCGAGCTTTTGAAATGTGAACCAAATTACAACATCTGGTTCGGCGATGGTTCATCCTTTGAGATGTCCACTGATCTCACCAAGATGAAAAAGGCTATCGAAGCTGTTGAAGGTATCGATGGCTTTGAGAGGTACCTTGGTTTTCTTCAGGAGTCGCATCGACATTATGAAGTTAGTGTTGAGTCTGTGCTGCGAAGAAACTTCCCTAGTATTCTGAGTCTGGCCAGACCTGAGGTGCTGTTCAATCTGTTCAATATTCATCCCCTGGAGAGTATCTGGACGAGAGCGAGCAAGTACTTCTGGACCGAGAGACTGAGAAGGGTTTTCACATTCGGAAGTATGTATATGGGCATGAGTCCTTTTGATGCGCCGGGAACGTATAGCTTGCTTCAGTATACTGAGCTTGCTGAGGGCATTCTATATCCTCGCGGTGGATTCCACAAGGTTGGTTTTGCAACTCAGCATGATAGGTTTCTCACTAACAGCTTCAGGTCGTCGAAGCACTGGTCAACGTTGGTCAGCGTCTAGGTGTTGAGTATCGTCTCTCCACTGGCGTCAAGTCCATCTCCATCGACCAAGCAACCGGCAAGGCAAACGGTGTTGTGCTGAGCGACGGAACACATTTACCTTCTGACATTGTCATCTCAAACGCCGATCTTGTCTACACTTACAACAATCTCCTCCCCAAGACCAGCTACGCAGAATCACTATCAAAACGAGAGACTTCTTGCAGTAGTATCTCTTTCTACTGGTCTGCTTCCAAAATCGTTCCTGAACTCAACGCTCACAACATCTTCCTTGCGGATGAGTACCAGGAGTCTTTTGACAGCATCTTTAAGGAGCACCTCATTCCTTCAGAACCTTCTTTCTATGTCAATGTACCTTCGCGCATTGACCCCTCAGCTGCTCCCGAAGGCAAGGACTCTATTGTTGTTCTTGTCCCTGTTGGCCATCTTTTGTCAGATTCTGAAGGAACACATCGTGGTTTGTCGAAGTCTGGAAATTCTGGTGGCCTTGAAACAAGCCAGGACTGGGATAAGATGATCTCACTCGCCCGTGACACAGTTATTGCAACAATGCGTGCGAGAATAGGCGTTGATCTTACTCCTCTCATTGAAAACGAAATCATCAACACTCCCTTCACGTGGCAAGAGAAGTTCAACCTCGACAAGGGTGCTATTCTTGGTTTGAGCCACTCCATCATGAATGTTCTCGCCTTCCGACCTGGTACTCAGCACTCCAAGTACAAGAACTTGTACTTTGCTGGTGCCAGCACACATCCTGGTACTGGTGTTCCTGTTTGCATTGCTGGTAGTAAGATTGTTGCAGAGCAGATTCTCAAGGATTCAGGTTTCAAGAACAACCAGATCCCCTGGGCTCAGGATACTGCCAAGTCTCCCAAGGGTGGACTGGATAAGATGAGTGATTCGTCTTTGACTCTGTTCCAAGGGTTCTTGGGGGCTCTGGTTGCGATTTTGCTGGCTTATTATTATCTTGTCATTGCTGCGAATTAGCGAGCATTGGTTGGTTGACTAGGAGTATTTCTTTGGTGCGATTACTTGGTTAGAGATAGAATGAACCCCCCTAATATCTACGATCTACTGGTCTATGTCCATGATTCTCGAAAGTCATCACTATGGTGTAAATAACGTGACAACTATCTGATCGGAAAGAACCGGATTCCCGATAATATTCATGCACTGTCTCAGACTGTGCTTGATCTGATCATCTCTATACCCCACCAAAACGTCGATCCCGTTGTGTTACATGGAACATTCCTATCTTGACCTCAAACCGTCATCATTTTCGGCAAATACGTCGATCAGCCTTACAATTCGCCCCTAAACTACCGCGGGATCTTCCATTTTACGCTACGGCTACCGGCAACGTTTTTAGTCACTCGATACCATGTTTGAAACCTAGTGGTGTGGACTCAACATGTCAGCACGTCATAGACTCGATATCAGCCATCGCAGATTCTGACAGCGCATATTGATGAACGATGCGTTTTGTTTCTGGCAATGACGATTACTCGGCAGTTATTTCCGTGTGTGCTCGGCAGAGTCGGATATGAAGTCATGGAAAGGGAAACGGAAAACGCTGGGGATTGAAGCTTGGCTGCATTTAAGGGTTTGACATACCTGTCATCTTCTTGGCTTGCAGACATTGCATTTTTCGCTCCACGAATACGAAGCTACTCTCTACCGTTGAGTTAACTGCTGCTCACCATGGCTGACCACCTTTATGCGAGAAAGAATGATGCTCTCAATGTCAACCGTGAGCCATATCATCCCCCCAGTCTCAATGAGCTTACTAACAATTCACTACAGCTGACATTGTCAATGGGCAACGCAGTGACATTAATATCACCGTCAGAGGCTCTGACTGGTACTGGGCTGTCTGCGCAGGTGTGTACAACGAAAAACGTCCAGGGTTATGTGGTACAAAGACTAACTGTTCTCAGTCATGACCGTTTCAACCTTTGCGTTCCTCGGGCTTGGAATGAGAAAGCCTCGCACCGATCGTATCTTCCAGTAAGTTCCATCAAAGTTCCATTGGACATTCTTTCTTTCTTGTTGATCTACGAGTATCCATAGAGTAAGGTGCCATGTGCTTTACTGACCTGCTTAGCTACATCACTGCAGGTATCACCATGATTGCATCTATCGCATACTTCACGATGGCTTCGAACCTCGGCTGGACTCCTATCGCGGTTGAGTTCCAGAGGTCCAACCATAGGGTCGCCGGGATCTACAGAGAGATCTTCTATGCAAGATACATTGACTGGTTCTTGACAACTCCTCTTCTACTCACAGATCTTCTTCTTACTGCTGGCATGCCCTGGCCGACTGTGCTGTGGGTGATTCTCGTGGACTGGGTGATGATTGTCACTGGATTGGTCGGAGCCCTCGTGAAGAGTTCCTACAAGTGGGGTTATTTCGCCTTCGGTAAGTCGGCTTCCATACACTGACACTATCATCACTGACATACCTCCAAGGTTGCGCTGCCCTCGCATACATCGTTTACGTGCTCGCTTGGGAAGCTCGTCTACATGCTAAGCACGTTGGCCCTGATGTCGGTCGAACCTTTGTCATGTGCGGTTCCCTCACAGCCGTTGTCTGGATTCTCTATCCCATTGCCTGGGGCGTCTGTGAAGGAGGCAACTTGATTGCCCCTGACTCTGAGGCTGTCTTCTACGGCATCCTCGATCTCATTGCGAAGCCTGTCTTTGGAGCCTTGCTTCTCTGGGGACACAGAAACATCGACCCTGCTCGTCTTGGCCTTCGTATTCGCGACATTGACGAGCGCATCTTCCCAGATGGTCCCAACAACAAGGTTGCATCTGGACATGGTGCTCGAAACGATACTGCCACTGCCTCTGGCGCTAATGTCAACCCAAACGCGTGAGTGGAAGGTTACAAACAGACGGAATTGGCTACTAGATCTTTGGATCCCCCATTATCTTCTTTATCAATCTCTAGCGCAGTTTCCTGATCAATTAGTCAACCGACCCTGTTGTATGCTGAGTCGGACACTTGCGTATAGTTTTCATGTACAAGTACTGGTCTGATGATACCCGAAGTTTGTTTCGTGGCACGGATATGTCTTGGAGCCTTGTTTTAATCGTCTGATCTCGATCTTAGCATCTCTAGTTCTATTACGTAGCGATATCTTCCTCAATTCACTCATTGATTCAACACCGACCTGTTTTACCAGTTTAGTGATGTACACTTGCCCCTTAAGAAAAAGATATCATCACTTCAGTATGAGTAAGTAGATATTTTTGACGATATTCTGTAGGTTAAGATCCTTATGGAAACTATCCCCTCTTGTCTAACATCTAATTCTTCAGAGGCGCTCATATGCAATATTATGATAGCCAATTAACGAAATAATTGTCCTACAATAAACTGGCTACTGCTATCTTCCTCGGTTTAGTCTACCTTCCTCTCTTCACTCTTGTCGGGAGTTTGCTGGGGAGTTGAAACTCTCATAGGCGTTCCCTCCATCACCGGTGTGATACCTCCGTTCATATAGTGGTCCTCCCAGTCCATGTCACTAAGATACTTATAGTCAAGTCCTCTGATCTCGTGTTCCTCGCTGGCTCGAAGATGAAGACCAGGGATCTTGCCAATGACGAAGAGCAATATGCACGAGATGACAAACGACCACGCAGCGCAAGTCACAGCACCCGCAATTTGGAGACCAAGCTGGCGGTAGTTTCCATCCCACCATCCACCTGCATAAGCGTCTCCTGATACACCGTCCAGAGCAGGAACATATCCAGTAGCAAAAAGGCCTGTCAGGATGTCTCCTATGACGCCGCCGATTCCATGGATGGCAAAGATATCGAGGCCATCATCAACCGAGAGAATGTACTTGTACTTGACGCAGTAAAAGCACACCAGTGACGTGACACCTCCGATTACCGGAGACACATAGATGAGCGTGAATCCGGCAGCGGGCGTGATGCCAACTAGTCCTGCAATGATCCCACTGCAGAAGCCGACCAGAGAGAACTTTCGGGTATGGAGGTATCCGAGCAGAACCCAGGCAATTCCACCAGCACAAGCAGAGAAATTTGTGTTTGCGACGACGTAGATCGATCGTAGACTAAGGTTCGCGGTACTGCCACCTGAGTTGAAGGGGGAAGGTTAGCTTTCGGTCGTACATCTCAACGACAATTGACATACCGTTAAATGCAAACCATCCAAACCAAATAAGCACAGTTCCTAGTACCATAAGTAGTGGGTTATGTGGTTTGTAGTGTACGGCTGCCTTGCGATCGGTGATACTGGCATCGGGGAGTCGGGGCCCCAGCATAAACGACCAAGCCAGAGCACCAAATCCGGAGGCAATATGAACTGGCCCTGATCCCGCGAAGTCATACAGGCCTAAATTATACAGCCATCCGGATGGATTCCATTCCCAATAAGCTAGACTGTAGCGATGCCTGTTAGTGACTCTTCACAGGATGAGGTTTGGTCCGCGCTGGGTCCAAGCCATGGTTGCGATCCAGGAGACACTGCGACATATAACTTACGGATAGTACACAAAGGTTGTCCAGCACAAAAGAAACACCATGCTGGGCCATAATCTGCCTCTTTCAAGCATCGCTCCAGCCAAAATCATGGCAGTGGCGGTGACGAAGGTGACTCCGAAGATCGCATCTAGAGGATGTAAGTGTCAGCCATCAATTTTCAATGACACTATGTCCTGCGTTCAACTACACATTCACAGCGTGAGTACATACATAGGATCTCTGGGATATCAGCGTTTGCAATCGATGGCTGGGCAAGGACGTTGTGGAATACAGCGAGCGACAGGTCACCCAGCATTGGGTTTGTAGTTCGAGATTGATACAAGCTGTAACCATAAATCCAAAATTGTATGCCTACGGCACAGGCACAGAAAAGGGACTGCAGAATTATCGTCAATGCTGCTTTCTTCCTGTGCATACCGGCATCTGTGTCGCGTCAGTGTATGGAACCAAGTGTCTCGAGGCGTCGCGAGTCCCTACAAAGAAATCCGATTGCAGGAGTGATCTGCCAGCAAAGAATCGTGCAAACCAGCATCCATGCCATATCGCCCTGTTAAACATCATTGGTTAGAGCTGGGATCTTCACCGAAGTTTTCGTGGAAGCGCAGCATGAGAATAAGAGCCAGCGGAGCGAATGCACAATCTGGTTCTCCGTCTCACCGAATGACTAACCTTGTCATAAGTAGCATTCAAGTCATGGGTAATAGGATTACCGCCCGTGGGATCATCATTGTAATCAGGCCACTCAGTGACCGGAGTGATTGTCGAAGCCATGCTGTATCAAAATTTGGCAGAGAGACTGGCTGTACGCATTGCTGCGCTCCACCCGACGGCAGAACCCACAGTCTTTAATGTCTTTTCCCCTATGTGAGGCCCTGAATCCTCGTATCTCAGACATATCCTAGTGTTTTGCCAAGAAATGGGTATCGTAGCTGAATCGGGAACATTTTTCCCTTTCCGGTGAAACAACGCGAGATAAGAATTAAGGTACAAGATAACGTTGCTTCATCGCGACGTGGCTTAGATTCCTTATCTTTGGCTGCATGATATGTGGTTGGACAGATCTGAGATCGGCAGAGATAACGGACGAGCGGAATGGTTGTTCCCCTGGCTTCAACGCGATTCAGATCAGGATAGAACAGAATAAAAGAGCATGACCGGTAGCAGAGTTCCTTCAAAATACTCAGTATAATCTTCTGATCTTAACGAGGCATCAAGACAGATGCAAACCTCGTAAGACTTTAGCTGAACCTTAGGCTAATCTTATGGCATTTTAGGTAATCTTAGTACAGCGCCTCTATCGATGGCAGAAGGGTGAGTGCATGACTTGACGTCTCACAAGAGCCAATGGTAAGTGAATATTGTTTGGTACCTTGCAGGGGATGGAATTTAGTCAGTAGTTAGCTACGACCTTATCTTTGGCCAGGTTTGCTAGTTGAGAAACGCGGAGAAAGGCTTGAGACTCATTGGTGGGGACCGAGGCCGCGCGTGTTATTCAGTCTGCAAGGTTGAGCCAAAACTTAAGGCTGCGATAAGAGATTATGATTATCTCTCTTGAGATTAAGGAGAACCAATCAGAAGATGTTCTGAGCCCACTGTCACTTGGGCGTGGCTACCCGGGAGTTAGTAACTCCCATGTTGGGACCAATGTTTGCATTTATTAGATCATTTAGACATTATTCACATGTTTATAGAACTTCTTATCTAAATTCAAGGCAGCTTTGTTCTTTCTCTGATGTGAAGAAGAGTCAGTCATGCAGATATGTGAGTTTTCATGTCAAAAACTGCAAGGAGACAAACATAACAAGAAATCATCAACAATCTTACATGTAAACACATCGAATACTGGTACGTATGTCACGTTGATAGTGATCATGGTATATCTTCAATATGGGAAACATAAACGAGAATAAATCTCAAATATTTAATAAGGATCTCTAAGCTGTCGTTTTTCACGAAGAGCTCGAGTGATGGGTTATTTCGCATGATGGTCATCACTGAAATTTATGGAGCTCTGGCTCATAACGCGTTACGCGTCCGTGGGAAACGAAAACACATTTTGTCAATGGACCAGCGTTTACTAGAGCTCTGTACCCCTTTGTCATGACGCTGTTCGAAAAAAAAAAAAAAAAAACACACCATCGACGGCAATGATTCTTTTGACGGGTAAGGTAGGGTGCCATGTTGTAGCCAGTCGAATAATTCCAGCATGATCGATCTCAGAGTGGCCGTAAGCGCGCGCGCCCCTTCAGTTTGTCGCGTCTGCCCCTTTCAAGGTCGAACGATACAGCTGGACATTTCTCAATGCTGGCGACTCACTGCTAACTGAGCAGTGGCATCAGTTTTCATCGAACCAAGGTAGCGGTAGCATATGACTGAATCCTCCCTCTGTTAACGGCAGAGAAGACATCGGCCCCGGTGACGATTCTCAAAGCCATCGGATAAGTGGGGACGGCGACCCGGCCAAAACGGACGCCGACTCACGAAGCCGGCTCCACAACCATGAAAGCCCCGACATGCCGATCCGTGATCACATGAAGCATTATTTGCTTCGTGATTCTTGATAAACAAAGATTTTTTCTGGTTAAAACATGCTTTTATATAATATATTGCTATCATATCCTGTCAAAATTGTGTTATTCCAATATCATACAGCCCAGTGTACCTTGTCTTCTTTCAGAAATGCCTAACCAAATCGTTATAGTCGTCGGTGCAGGCCCTGTTGGTCTCTTTACAGCCTTGCTCCTTGCTCAGAATGGAATCAAGGTGACTGTGATTGAGGCAGATGAAGGAATATCCCGGAGTCCACGAGCTGCAGTGTAGGTTCTCCTATCTAACTGCCATTCATTCCCTGACATATCAACCGCAGACAGCTCCCTTGCGTTAATCTCGAGTTTGCCAAGGCTGGAATCATCGATGAGGTTATTGAATCTTCTTATAAAAGCAATGATGGATACTATTGGCGAGACGGGTACGATACAACAAAAATCCTCGCAGACTTTACGCCTCCACCATCAGATAATCCCAATCTTTGCGCAGTCTTCATAGGACAAGACGTCTTGGCGCAGATCTTCCTCAAGCATTTGATCAATACAGGAAATGCGGAGATCATCTTCAACCATGCGTTTACCCGCGTTGAAGACCATGGCGATTCAGTTACTGTTCACGCTCGGCGCAAACTTGATGATCAAGAGCTCAGCTTTCACTGTCGATATGTCGTCGGAGCTGATGGTGGTAAGAGCTCGGTTAGAAAGTGTATAGGCCAGTCTCTCGAAGGCTATACCTGGCCAGACATACGGCTCATTGCAGTCAACATCCTCTACGATCTTGAAAAGTTAGGTTGGAAGCCTGGTAACTTTATCGTACATCCTGAGGATTGGGCTATCGTTGTGAGACGTGGCCCAAAGAATCTGTGGAGGGTTGCAACCAGTGTTCCATTTGTTCAGGGTGCTGATGGGGAGCCTATCACTGACAAGACTGTTTTCCCTGTCATTAAAGAGAGGCTCTCTAGGATCTTGCCCGGCAATACTGATGAGATCATCTACCTCCAGACAGCTCCGTACACGATTCATCAGCGCTGTGTCTCCAAGTATCGCGTTGGAAACATCATGCTCGCTGGCGATGCTGCTCATGTAAGTTATCCCTCGCCATCGCATCCTTCGTCACTAAACATTCTCTAGCTCAACAATCCCGTTGGTGGACTCGGACTGACTACGGGCTTACTTGATGCCGCTCATTTGGGCAAAGCTTTAACTCAAGTCATAAACGCGAATGCCCCAGAAACAGCCCTCGATGAGTACGCAACCGCCAGGCGTGATGTCTATAAGAACGTCACGGATCCGTTATCGACTGCAAATCTCTTGAGGCTGAAGTCGACTGCCCCTGAAGACATCGCTACGAGGGAGGCGTTCTTCAAGATGCTGAATGATCCGAACGAGAAAGGACAGGTGTTTGCTCATATGGCGAAGGAGATGGGGCTATCTACTACGTTAGATATGAAGGATTTGGGGCCAAGGCCACAGTTGTAAAATGTAGAAGAATAGATACAGCAATCTCCATTGCATTGAGAAACCCATTGGCTTCTTTATCGTGTTTCAGATCTTGAAGTGGAATTGATACGCAGTGAACATCGGCCCGAGCCCAGTATAATTCTCGATACCATCATGTTTGCGATCATAGACCACGTCTGTAGTATACGCATGACATGAAGCAAAATACTTTCCTTAATGTTGCTCTATCATGCCACGGTAAGAAAAGCTTCATCTTTGTCTCTGCTTTTCGTACTCCCGGTTACTAAGGGATCATTTTTACAATGTCTTGACACGTAATCGAATAGTCCGCCGACTTGCCATCTGCTTCAGGGAATTGAACCATAGCTAATGATCAACAGCCTTACGCCTGGGCGTACGCACTACTCACGAGACCCCCCTTTCGCCTTCTGGACATCCATATTGCATTTGCGATCTTGACCTTAGTCGCCGACTTCAAAAGAAGCGAATGCGCTTCTATTGGGACTGACCACAGGCAGGATATTGCTGTCTGAAGCGGCGCTGCTAAATGGCCGGCGCGTGTTACTACCGTGACCTGACTTACCTACGGCCCCCGGTCACCGCGAAGGCCGTCTCCACCAACCCGATGGCACCTGTCCATGCTACCCCAGATCCCGATTCTTCACTGGCTGGGGTAAAGCTGGGGAACAAGCCAGATTGGAGCCGATAAATTTGCAAATACCCTGACAATCGGGACGCGAATTCCAGCCACCGGCATTCGAACACGGATACGCCCTTTCCTTCAACCTTGATATAACAAAGCCTAGTCCCACGGTGTTTTGCTACTGGTACATCCTTGCATCTCAAGCATTCAGCCTCTGAGTTGCATCGCCAACATGGCTTCCCAACCCTCCATCAGCGCTCCCTTTGAGCAAGATGCTGCTCGAATTCATTCCAAGACATTGATCTGCCTTTTCGTAAGTCACTCTGCGCCTCTGGCACCCCCCAAGCTAACCAAAGTCCAGGCCGTCAACATGATATACCTGACACAAATCCTCTCCCTCGTCGGTACAGGCCTCCTGGCGAATACTATGGCCGCGGCCGTCGGCGGTAGTAGCCAGACTGTCTGGTTCTCATCTTGCATCACGATCCTCACCGTCGTTCTCAATCCCCCCATCGGTCAAATCGCTGATTACTGGGGCCGAAAAACCATCCTCGTGGTGATGCCACTTGCTGGCGTTGCGGGTAGCCTCATCGTGTCCCGAGCTCAAAGTTCCGGAACTCTCATCGCCGGGTTCGCAATCTTGGGGTCTACTTTCGGAAGCCAGTCGCTTACCGTTGCTGTCATGTCCGAAATTCTTCCTCGGCACTACAGACCTATTGGACAGGCTGTTGGAAGTGTGTCGATCGCACTTGGTGCTATAATTGCCTTGCTCATGGGAGGCGGCCTACTCCGTCATGGCGACAACTCCAACTACCGTATCTTTTGGTACGTGACGGCCGGTTGCTACGCTCTTGCATCTCTGGGCTGTCTCATCGGATATAACCCCCCGCCTCGAGACCTTCAAATCTCCCTCAATGTGTCTCAAAAGATCAAGAGCCTTGACTGGGTAGGATATACATTATTTGCCCCAGCCCTCGTCCTTTTCTGTATAGCCCTATCATGGTCGCAAAACCCTTACTCCTGGGATAGCGTTAATATTCTTGCACCCTTTGTCATCAGCATCGTCGTCTTGATAGTCTTCATCGTGTATGAGTGGAGGTTCAAGAAGGACGGTATGCTTCATCAAGAGCTATGGAGACACAGAAACTTCGCCATCTCCTTATTTGTCATTTTCATTGAAGGTATCGCTTTCTTCGCCGCCAACTCTTATTTCGTCTTCGAAATATCTCTTGTATATGATGCCAGCTTCCTTTCGGGCAGTGTAAATTTTGCTATCATGTTCATTGCAGCCGCTGCTTTCTCCCCGGTCTTTGGCTTATGGTCCTCTAAGTACAAGACACTTCGGCCACCACTCGTCTTGGGTGCCGTCTGCCTTCTTGCATTCTTCATTCTACTGGCAACCTCAAAGATTGACACTCCTCGATATGCTTTCTGGATATATCCTCTCCTACCTGGTATTGCACTTCCTTCTATTGTTCCATTGACCATGGTTTCTGCGCAATTCGCAACAACACCAGAGCTTATCGCTCTCACATCTGCTCTCATGACTAGTATTCGCAGTCTAGGGGGCTCAATTGGCCTAGCAATCAACAATGCTGTCTTGCACAATGCTTTGGATAAGGAATTAGCCAAGAAGATTGCAGAGGCAGCTCTACCACTCGGGCTACCTACCTCGTCTCTGCCTGCACTTATTCAAGGGCTAGCTTCCCAGAACAAACAGGCAGTGGCTGCTGTCCCTGGCCTCACACCTGAAATTGCAAATGCCGCCGTTTTAGGCATGAAGAAGGCGTACTTAATCGCTTTTCGAAACGCGTGGATCGTTTCGGCTGCATTTTGCTCTCTCATGCTTATAGGTAAGTTCGACCTACCCATTCCCATTCAAACTTGACTGACCAAAAAGCCTGCTTCTTCATCAAAGAACAAGCATCCGAATTTGATGCAACCATTGACGCACCAGTTGAGATTGATGCCAAGACTATGGAAGTGGATGAGATAATGCCGCCAGAAACGCAGGAGAAGCAGTTGGAGAGCAGGGCAGAAGTGAGCCACCAGGAGAACACTAGCTCCTAATTGATCTAACATGTTCAGAACCTCTAGGCTGTCTTGGTCGCCCCCAGGGAGCAAGAAAACATCAGAGCATGGTGTCAAAATAAACTGAGCAAAGTGTCCCCTAAGCTTAGACTAGATTTACCTGAGTATTTCCATCGCTTAGGGTCAAGGTCCCCTAAGTCGCGTCGTGGAGTGGGTGGCTTTACACGTCTAGTAGCTTCAGGGCAATTCTCGCCCGCAGTACATAGCTTCTGTCGGGCTGGTGATCAGGGTTGCAAAGCTGTCCTTATTGTCATTAGCTGAAGCAATAGTACGTGGCTTAAATGTTCCAACCGTCTTGACCCATATACACTCCGCGCTCGCAGTTATGACCCCTTTGGCTATTGCTATGCCGGATCAAGGATATTCTCTGTAACAACCAACAGCGCATCTCAAACACTGGAAATCACCTTCATAGCAACTGAACGTATTGGAATCTGTACATGATTCAATACGCGTTACCATTACTTCAATATTTCATCTATATGTGCCTCATAGCTCATCTGTCCCAAGCACTTCCCACTGCTATCACAACTGTAGGTAATTTAGATGCTGATGATCCTCATCAAGGAAATTGAGAGAAATGCCGCTGTTCCAATCAGGTTGAGTGTCTCCTGGGACGTATCTTGGTAATCCCCTTCCAGCCATATTGGCAAGTTCTGTCATCAAAGTCTCTGCATCTCCCAGTTCTGTCGGCTGAAGAAGTTGCTGCAGGTCATTGTCACCAGAACTGCTTTCTACCGACATGTTCTCACTTCTCCGTTCCTCGATATCGGGCCCTCCCGCTATGGTGGCCTGATCATCTTTCCGATTATTGGGAACCCGCGAAGGGAAGAATAACGCAAATCGCTTCTCGAATGAGTTATCCTTGTCACGGCGCATCAATGAAGCCTTCAGATCTGTTCCTAGTTAGTATGCAAAGATGTTGGTCAATGGGCAACACGTACTTATTACAATCGAAGCAAGGTTCCATACAGTGGCATACTGCGACAAGACCAGACTAACGAGTTCACTATTATGGTATCCGGTATATGAAGCATCAGTCATATCCTTTGAGGGGTATGCTCGGTCTGATAACAGACAACAAGCCAGGAAAGGCTGACATAGAGGGATGTAGTCCGGATACCAATGATAGAATATCCGAGATAAATGGCGAGGTGATCGCAACGTCTCTGGATCTCCAGGCTTGAAGGTAGCTTGTATGGTCGTGCGAGTGCAGGTCAACATGAGATGCATGCCAATAATCCAGTTATGCCTTGCCGCATCACCTGAAGATGTTTCCCGTTCCAGGGTCTCCAAGTTGAACCGCTGTGACATGACAAGTGAAAAGCAGGTAATAGCATCGATGAGCTCCTCCTTATCCCGCTGACAAGTGAATCGACCCGCTGCAAATTCACTTGCGACGCTCAACAGAATGTTGGCTATAAGAAACCATGCCCGAGGGTCTTGATTTGGGGAGTCGACAAGGAGTTTCCAAACCTCACTTGGTCTTGGGTCGACAAAAGGTGAGTCCACAGGTCGGTCAGCAAACCATGCCTCGTCGCTGACCGGGAGCTTGACCATGACCATGGACCGGTTGATTGAACTTGGCCGTCTTGACATGAGAGAGCCAAAAGTATCGAGTTCCCAGGTGATCCAAAACGCACGGCGTTGCTCTTCTAGAACTGACCAATCGCCTGATTCATCCTGCTCATCCATGCTACACAAGTTTAGATCATAGGCTAGTCGGACACAGACGCCCGCAAGGATCCATGCGCGGTGTGATGGACCTGAAGCATATTCATAGACAGCTAACAAGATGCATCCCTGCAGGTGTTCAAGACTTGGTGTTTGTCCCAGCTGACACTTTTCGTAATATGCATTGGCCTTCTCCAGAAAGAATTGCCCACGGTCTGGTGCTGGAATGCCGTGGAACCATGAACTTGTGGAGTGGCGAGCTGCCAGGGCAAACATGCCGCAGAGCAGCAATGCTTCAGTGTTGGAGTGGTGGTCTCTATCATCGAATACGCCGTTCTTCATAAATTGGGCGAAGAATCGTGGCCTATGAAGAAGCGGAAGCCATCCTTGGGTTTTTGCGAAAAAGATGTGAACAAGGTCTGTCAGTACAGGCACCGGTACCCCCAACCATACAGGTGCTTCTCCTTCTGTTGAGCGGAAGGTGGATGCTGGTGACGTTGAATCGTCACAAACGATACTTGTGCCCAGGACAATGATTTCTGACTGCGATTCATTGTTACTATCATCTCTCATAGTCTGATCCTGTTCTCTGTCGAGAGAGTTTGGTGTGTGTATATCGTTGACTTTCGGAAGCTGTTCCGTTTGCGATAGCAGCATATCGATGTCTTGCCCATCGCTCAACCTGGACTCAAGCAGACTAACTAGACGTTCTGATCCACGCGTTAGCATTCAGTCATCATTTGACTCAGTTAGTCTGGTCTTACCAAGCTTCTGTGAGTCAATCTGGCCCTCCTGGCGACGTCTCTGAGGCGTCTTCCGCTTTGTTGGGAACGTGCAAGATTGGCCGGTTCTTGTACATAAACCGCAGTTAGGTTTTCTCATGTCACCTAAAGCCGGGTCAACTCGCATTCCAGAATTGGAAATCGTATCCTACATCTTGTCTTCTTTCTGTTGAGAAGGATTAACGTGGGTCAAACAAGAAGCTGCAAAGAAAGGCTCACGTACCGTCTGCATTCAAAACAGGCGCGATGGCCCTTCCACGTCTGAGGTGGAGTCGGACGTTCTTCTTGGTCTTGGGTCATGTTAGGAGCGCGATAGAGCCTGCGATCAATGGACTGAGTGTCGCGGTGCAACGTACGATGAAGTTGAGTTTGGAGCAAGTTGCATCAACTGCTCCCCAGATTTCTCTTTTGCGGGGGAATGTGGGCACCCGAAGCTCAATCTACCGATTCTTCCGTTGATTGGCCTTAACCGAGGGCCCTTGTTGCGCCATGTTCATTAGTTCCAATGGTGGGCCCGGTCAAACGCGGTCTTTTCATGTCCGTGGTAATTACGTGTAGGCTCATTCGGCAGTTTGCTCACAGCTGTATTTATTTCCCCATATGACTATTGCCCAGCATGGCTGATTCCAGTCTAACACTTCCCTTAAACGGTCCAAAATGGCTCCTAGTTCGGAAATCCTCGCCAGTGCTCAACCAGACCCCGAGTTTCTCGAGGCATGTGCCCTTCCCCACCACTAAAGGTCCGACAAGAACAGCACTAATAACTTCCACTAACAGATCCTAAAGTCCAGCAGTCCCCCGCCGCTTCCGGCCAACATCGGCATACCAACTCTTCGAGCGACATCAAATAAGCACAAAAATGAGGCACGAGACAGACTTGGAGGACCTCCTCCGAACTTGACCGAGCGAGATATTGAAATACCCGTTCGTGACGGCAGCACCATTCTCGCCTATGTTTATTCTCCGTCAGACGTCGTCCCAGGTGATGAGCTTCCCATCTTTTTATTCTTCCATGGCGGTGGCTTTTGTCTAGGCACGCGCCATGATGATATGGAGTCCAACAGAATCTTGGCTCTCAAAGCTGGCATCATCATAGTCTGCCTTGACTACCGTCTTGCTCCGGAACATCCGTTCCCTCAGGCAATTCATGACGGAGTTGATGCTTTGCAATGGGTATGTAATTGTTTTCCCCAAGTTGTTGTTCGTAAAGAGACTGACCTTGGATAGATCGCTCAAAATGCTACTCAAGTTCACCCTTCCGCTTCTCCTTCAGCGGGCCTCATCATCGGTGGCACTTCCGCTGGAGCAAACATTGCCAACGGCGTGGTGTATCTAAACCGCGACCTTGGGTCTCCTGCAAAGGTCACCGGGCAGTTTCTCGGTGTCGGACCTCTTCTCCCTCCACCATTCGTTCCCGAGAAGTACAAAGACGACTATGTCAGTCACGAGCAGAACAAAGACGTGACTATACCTCCAGAGGAAGTCGCTCGCGCATTCGTTGGTAAGAAGACCTGAGACATTGTGTTGAAGAGAAACTAAGATCTTTGCAGCTGCATATAAGCCAGACCCGACTTCGCCGATCGCAGTGCCTGCTGTCCATCCATCAGGACACTCAGGAATACCTCCAACTTACTTCCAAGTCTGCGGGCTTGATGGCTTGAGGGACGAGAGTATCATTTACGAGCGGATTCTTCAGGACGACATGATCTCCACGCGACTGGATTTGTATCCTGGTCTACCCCATCACTTCTGGGAGTTCTTCCCTCAATTGACCAAACAGGTTGAGAAACGAACAAATGATACAGTGGAGGGGATTAAATGGCTATTGCATGGGCCGAAAGTCCCGAAGTTGTGATGTTACTCAAGATTTGAAGTGGGTACGACGTCGAGTCGTGAATGTTCGAGTTTGTGATGGCGGTTCATGTGCAATTATCATGTTCGGAAATGTCGGCATGGGAAAGATCCATTATTTTCCGCCAAAATGTCTTCAATCTCATGATTCCCACTGTTGTCTCTTAAACCTTGTTCAGTTCCCATTCTGTCAGCGTTAGTCAGCGATTGTCAGTATGTGTAAGACGCTACTAGCGGCTCTCGTAAGATCTCAAAACTCATTACAATCCAACTTGCTACCTCTTACAAGGAGCGGCCGCTGTCGCCATATAATAGTGAGAGAAAATATCTCCTTTCAAATATTCCTAAACTCATTCACTATAAACTCAGCATAATCACTGTCCGACCCATTGTTGCAATCATGGCAGTGACAAATCGTCGAAAGGCACGCGACAGCAGTGATGTCGAAGCTAGGCCCAGCTCAGAGCCTTCGGGTCCCCATTATCGAAGCAACAGTCAACCTTTCGCTGGAAGACTTGGAGCCAATCAGGCATACGTTGTTGAAGGAGGAACTTCGGAAGATGACCATTTACTGCATCATGCACCAGATGCTACGCCTCACATGTCTTTCTGGGAGTTGATGGACATGCGCCCGATCAAGAATCTGGATTTATGGAAAGCGGCACTTATCGAGGGGATTGGTACCAAACTTCATCAATCAGCCTGCAATTCTCAACTGACCAGCATCAGGTACTTTACTGTTTGTGTACATAACGACCTGGGTAAACATCTCTCCGGATACTACTCCCGCTGCTCCAACGCAACGATTTGGGAGCTTTGACAATGCTGCTTTCCTGGGGCCTCTCATTGGCGGCATAACGAACCTGATCTTCATAACGCTCTTCATCACGTCTTTTGGGGCGATTTCAGGTGCTCATTTCAACCCTCTGATCACTTTTGCGACTTTCTGCGCTAGACTATGTTCATTGCCACGTCTGATACTCTATATCGCAGCTCAGGTCGGCGGAGGAGCCCTGGCAGGCTTATTGGTCAGGGCAAGCTGGGGAGATCGAGACTTCAAAGTCGGCGGATGCTGGCTGTTCACGGACATCGTCCCGCCAAGGGAGATATTTGTTGTCGAATTGGTGTCATCTACTCTGCTCCTGTTTCTCGCTTTTGGTGTTGGTCTAGACCCACGACAAGCCAAGATCATTGGTCCAGCACTGGGACCTTTCATGGTAGGATTGAGTGTAGGGACTATGAGCTTTGCTAGTGCCTTCGCGCGATATGGATACGGAGGTGCAGGCCTGAACCCGGCGAGATGTATGGGCGCCTTTGTCGGGAGTCAATTTCCGAGCTGGCATTGGATACACTGGGTTGCAGACGGTATTGCTTGCATCATCCATGGCGTATGTTATTACTTCATTCCGCCGTGGACAGAAGTCAGGCAGTAGGGACTTAAAAAGTATTGAAGGATGTTGCTTCAAATAGAAAATTGTCATTCAAGGCTACTTGATATTACTCAACAAGCTCAAACTCCACCAACTCCTTCTTGACTACTTCACTTATTTCCGATCATTTGTCATTGATGTCCACAAGGATCTTGACTTGGTTATCCTTATCCGTGATCAACGCGTTGATACCCTCATCGACAATGTTTTCCATCTTGATCTTTCTGGTGATCATCTGGTGAGGCTTAATTGCACCCGAAGCGAGGTTGTCAATGACTGCTTGGAAGTCCTCTCGTTGGTATCCTAAAACAGATTTGTAGGCGCTCTCCTTAAAGGTCAACCAATTGGGGTTGAAAGGGATCTCCTTCTCCCAGATCGCAATGTTGACAACAGTGCCTCTTGTTCTCACAACTTCGAAAGCACCTTTGACACTATTCACTGTTAGTATATTCACAGAGCTTGTGTAAGAAAACTCACCTCGCCGGTACACCGGCGCAATCGAAAACAACATCGGCACCTAAACCACCAGTCAAGCTAAGAGCGATCTCCTTGAGGTCCTCTTTGATCGGGTTCACAACCTTGGTGGCACCAAACTGCCTTGCAAACTCCTGTCTCGAGGCAGCAACTTCAGATACAATAATCTCACTAACCCCCTTGGCCTTCAAACACAGAATCATCGCCAAACCGATGGGCCCTCCACCCAAAATTGCAACCTTAGACTTGTCATTGATCTCCTGCGCTGCAGACATGGCATGCCAAGCTACAGAAAGAGGCTCGACAAGTGCTCCAATTTCGAGGGGTAGATCCTTTGGCAGCGGAAAGACGTGCGTCGCATTCACACAAACTGATTCGGAAAGACCGCCGCCGCCGCCTGAGAGACCGAGGAAGCCACCGGTATGGCAGACGTTCTCGGCACTGGTGTGGCAAGCTGCGCAGTGGCCGCAGAAAAGTGTTGGCTGGACTGCGCAGGGCTGTCCTACTTCAAAGCCGGTTACACCGGGGCCAACTTCGGAAATGACTCCTGAGAATTCATGCCCAAGTGTCACGGGAATACTTTCTGATGTAAGAGGGTGAGGCTTGGTTGGGCAGAAGTTGGGTCCTCCGAGATATTCGTGCAGATCTGGTTCCTGTCAGCTTTGGCTGGGTGTCGAAATGCGATCCTTACCTGTGCCGCAGATGCCAACGAATTTAGGGGCAACCTATCATTATCAGCATCACGATCGAAGCGGTATAAGAGAGATACCTACCTTAACTTGTCCGGGCTGTACTGAAGGCTCAGGGACCTGCTCGACACGAATGTCCTTGATACCGTAATACCTCGCAGCTCTCATCGTGGCGTAGAAAGACCGATTTATGTTCCTGGATACAGGCCCACGGAACTGTTGATTAAAAAAATTTGTAAATGTAGCAGTCGGCAGTCTCATAGTCTTCGAATCTCTCTTCTTCTTGCGTCAAGAGATAGCGAACAGCAGCCTCTTTATATAATTCCCAGGTTCAAGGTCACGTATGATCATGTCAGTTCACTGCCCCACCATCCGACATGGGGGATCCGCATCACGAGTTCCGCAATGCAGCCGCAAGCACAAAATCTCACTTCTCATGCATCAAAATACATCGTTTTAATTCGTGTTTCTTGCTTGATATAACGGTCTAGAGACTTCCAATGCGGGGAAATGGATGATCTTACTTGTTTCGTCTTCCTTTGACCCTTTCCCCGGATTCAAGAGAGTCTGAATCTGGTCAAGCGGGGCCTGAGCCGATTCGAGTTGTCGGAGCCGATCGCGCGCTAACTTTGTCAACGTAAAGGAGGAAGACGGCAGATTGTGGATGCGGATCAGATGGAAATGCCATGTTTTTTATTTGCTCTCTTGAGTATGATGGTCTTATCAAAACTGTCAACAGAATATCCATGGCGTGGCACAACATCTGCATCCCAAGTCTATGACCTTGTTCAACACCAAACGCGCTTCTCACGTCTCGACAGCATACGCGTCGCGTATCCCACAGAAGTTCCCAAGGTCCCGGAAATACAGAGAAAGGATGTCATAGAAGCTAAATTAACTTGCGGCTCTTTCTAGAAATGGGTTCCCGCAAGAAAGTCGATCTCGCAGGCAAAAATGGGGATATGGCTCGTTTCCGCCTCACTGCGTCTTGGCTATGGTGGAGTCTCCTGTCAAATTGTATGTATGACTGTGCAGTGGTGTGACGGGACCCATCAATATCTCGTTACCGAGCTGTCAGATAACGGTCTTTGATAAGCGATTGACATCAGGATGTGATCTTCAGATGATGCTGATCTTGTCACTCGCCTGAACACATCGGAGTTTTCTTGCGTGTGAACTAGGAAGCAGGCTTGAGTGTCAGACAGGACTGCAAAACGACACAATGTTGCTACCATTCGTCAATAGATCATCTTGTAGAATTGATCTTGACACAGCAATTATAACGAAGAATCGAGTATATAACACTCGTTAATTGAGGCCTTTTTGAACCTAACCCACAGTGTTGTTGACAGAGTTCCTAACCAAAATCACGCACAATTCGTTCCGGTCTTTCATTTTTCCAGCCAACGGTCAGTCCATCTTGTTAATACGACTCTACAGAGCGAGATTTCAGAGGACAATACGTGGGGAGCTCATTGAGTTGATAGAGACGCGTTTCATCAATTGGTGATTAATGTCTCGTGTTAAACCGAGCATGCTACTGACAAATGCCGTTACCCTGCACAGGGACGATTTATGGAGGGTCTTGGAGGGCGACTCCAACTCACCCCAGCGGTTGGAGTAACTCCACTTCTGAGATAAGATAGCTCTGATAACGATAACGTTGGAGCTTAGCGTCACAGGCTTCACAGCCCATGTCTGGTATCCATCTTGGTTGGCACGTATGCTACTGTGACTGTATACTCTGAGATAAGACTACGCCGGTATCGCCACGTAGAGAGTCCCCTCAATCCAATCCGCTGGGTGTGTAAGTTGCCGTTAGCAAAATACCACAATCAACTGGAGACCATGTCCATCTTCAATGGCGTTGCGCTCGTGACTGGGGCTGCTTCAGGTACGAACCCTGTCACTTCCCGTGCTTCCGCTATTTCGCTGACAGTTTGCAAGGTATCGGCCGTGAGACAGCTCTATCTTTTGCACGGGAAGGATGTAAAAGGATCGTTATAGTCGATCGTGATGCGAAAAAGCTCGACGACACAGAACTTGCGATTAAAGAATCCTTCCAGGATGTTCAGGTCCTGGCTTTACCAACAGACATCTCCAAAGAGGAGGACATCGAGAACCTCTATAGCCAAACGACCAAAACCTATGGCAGAGTAGACTATGTTGTCAACGGTGCTGGTAGAGTTGTTTTGACACTGAGACAGTTGCTCGTCAATGACTGATCGTATATAGGCGTGTTGAGTAACAACAAGAGGTCTCATGAGTCTTCCATTGAGGAATTTGATATGATCAACAATGTCAACTACCGCGGATGTTGGTTATCCTCTCGCGCTGCTATTCAACGTATGCTCAAGCAAGACCCTCTCCCTACTCATGACGGAAGACCTGGAGTTCGAGGAAGCATTGTCAACATCGCCTCACAACTGGGAGTGGTTGGACGCCCAGCAGCACGTAAGTGTCGACATGCAAACCTCAAATCTGAATCAAACACTAACCGTCGTCAACTACAGCGGCCTATTGCGGGAGCAAGGCAGCCGTGATTAGCATGACAAGATGCGATGCTATAGATGTATGTATCTCGCCAGCACCCGACTTGGCAAATTTACTGATCTGTACAGTACTCCAAGGATCTCATCCGAGTCAACGCCGTTTGCCCTGGTCTTATCGATACAGCGATGACCAGGCCTCAAGCTGATGTCTTGAGCCCTGCCATCAACATCGCTCCAATGGGTCGCATGGGTAGCCCGCAGGAGGTTGCTGATTGCATATTATTTCTTGCAAGCAGTAAAGCAAGCTTTGTTCAAGGAGCTGCCATGATGGTTGACGGCGGATATGTCATTAATTAGTTGTAGTTGTTATCGTGATAGAAATCTCCTCTGGTGAGTTGTATGGAATTCACTCATAGGTCTTTACAGCGAGGAATCATCTCAACCAATCAAAAATCGTTCGGGCGAATGGTTTAGTGGTATAATACTCCCTTAGCATGATTCATCAGAATAATCTGGGAGTGGTCCAGGGTTCGATTCCCTGTTCGTCCAACTTCGGTGGTTTGATTCCGCCTGTACCATCTTTTTGCCCTTGGTCGTTTTTGCCCTTGACCGCCCTGATCCGACCAGTCTTTTCGAGCAATTCATGTTGGACTTGGCAATGCCTGTGAGCTACTGGATGTTCCATGAACTAATGGCTTTGGAACTGAAAGTAGATACCTTATGTATTGGCCTCCAACTCCATTTTTGTCATAGCGACCCCATTCATCTCCACTGCCTATGTCATGATGTTGCAGTCCACCAATCATCGTCATCAATTCCTCGTCGGCATTGACGAGATGGGTCGGGATAGCACCAGTGAAACCTCATAACGTAGTTCGGGACGTGATTTCAAAGCATCTCCACCAGCAGTAGCTTCTAGACTTGGTGTTCCTTTCAACAAGTATATAAGTAGGGGCGTAGCTCCCTGCCAACCAAATGTATCAACAAACCGCACTATATAAGAAAGTCACAGGGTCTTAAATCTCAAAACACCGAATATCCAACATGACTTCTCTCAAGCCCCTCATCCTACACGCTCATACCACAGGCCCCAACCCTTCAAGGTGGCCATTCTCCTTGAGGGTCTCAACATCCCATACACCGTCAAGCTCTGGCAGTTTGGAGATGCACCCAATGGTGTTAAGGGTGAAAGCTTCCTCAAGATCAACCCCAATGGCCGCGTTCCGGCTTTGGAAGATCCTAACACCAACGTCACCAGCTGGGAATCTCTTGCATGTATGAACTACATCCTCCGCGTCTACGATTCCGGGAACAAGTTCGGTGCACGACAGGAAGCAGGCGAGCAAGGACGAGCTGATGTCGACGCGTGGACTAGCTTCCTTGTTAGCACTCTCGGCCCGTTCCTTGGTCAGTGTAACTGGTTCCGTCATTACAACAACGTCAAGAATGAGAATGCGTATGAGAGATATCAAGCTCAGGTCTATCGGTGCTTCGGAGTTTTGGAGGAGCAGCTGAAGAAGCATGATGGAGAATGGATCTTGGCCGGGGACAAACCGAATGTCGTCGACTTCCACTTCGAGCCTTGGATGAGACAGTATGAGTATGCTGGTTTGAGTCTGGATGACTATCCGAAGGTGAAGGCTTGGTTGGACCGTGTTCAGGCGTTGCCTGAGGTGAAGAAAGCGTATGAGAAGATCAAGGCTGGGGAGGAGGTCTAAACCCTACAAAGAGGTGCAAAGCGATGTCAATGTATTAAGATTCTTTAAAATAAAAACTCTTTTCTTGTTACCTCTCGGATAACCTCTGTCGCGAATTGTTGACACGGTCAACAATTCGTGACAAAGTCGTGATGCATAGCGCATATGCTGCAAATTGCTTCATGATACTGGACTTGAAAAATGAGAGTACCCGTAGGTAAAAGGGTTGGAAGTAGAGAGTTTGAATTATACAAATTTGGAAAGGGTAGCACTTTTTGTCTCGCGACCACCGCGTATATGGACTCATCATCCCGTCCAAATTGCCGTGAGCAAATGGAAACATTCAGCCACATGTCTCAGCCGCAAATTGCCCTTCTGATAGACACTTTCATTGGCAAAGCCGGAGAATTGACCTTCTGATGTTGGTCTAAGCCATTTATTGCCTCGAGTCATTTCCCTGGAGCTTTTGCCCCTGACGCTCCAAAATTTTCGGTAGCGCAAGTTTATGGTTGCGTGTGTGTCCGTCAGCCACTGGAACATGTTGCCTATCTCAGAAGGTGGTTGGTTGGTGTCTCTAGCTGAAAAGAGATGATGGCTTGCGGGATAGGGGGCATGGAGGCTTATCAGACAGATCCTAACCACATTGAGCTTACGGCGTCCTCGAATTGAATTGCCTCCATACGTAGATGTGCAATGCAAGCCACGTCCGGATTTGCAGAAGAGGTACAGTAAGTACGGTAGGTACAGCAGGCATGTATGCGCTGATCAATGCCATGTCGTACTGCTGTTCCAGCCAGTTATGCACAACAATTCAAGCGCGCGACAGTTGCAGTCCTTCTCACCACAAATTGCACATGCTGTTTCAAGAATCCATGCTTATTTCCCTGGCATTGGCGCCAAGTCGATCCGTTAGGATCAGCAAGCGGGCCGATATCTACGGTCCCACTCGGACTTCATGCTTTGGTGCGCAATGGCTATTGAGGTGTTGTACATGTTCTGGACACGCTCCTTTCAACGCTGTTGTCAAGTCTATGCGGACCAATTACCAGAGTTACCATTACCTAGATGGACAATGCTTTGGCAGGTATGCAGCCGAGGTCTATTTCGGAGGAGGAACTTTGTTGGCGAATGCTGTTATCGGATCGCTCCGAGCATGTGCCAAAGACGCCAACGCAGCGCTCAGACATGTACAACCCCATCGAGAATAGTGCAATGGTCTAGCTGAGCGAAGCTTTGAACTCTAAAGTCTAGTGGTTGGTTTCAGCGAAGAAGCGTTAAAAGCTAAATGCGCTGCCATCCGCCAGCGGAATTTTCCTTCTTCAGTTACCCATGTCCCCTTGCTGTCGCATCTCTACTCGGCGGTAGAACCAAGGCTGTGGCCGCCAGCCAAGCATCAATGAATATCAATACTTCTATTGTATGTTTGTCGAATATGTACTACTCACTCTTTTGGTACTAACTGAAGTTGCGTAGGCTATACAAGCAGTACTGCTTGTTTTGGCATTAGTTGTTCTTATTCTACGAACCTGGGCGCATTACCTCCTAAAGCAGAACCTCCTCAACCTGTCTGATGTTTTTGCATGGCTAGGATGGGTCTTCAGCTTGGGATGGTTCATCTGCTCGACTCTCGCGCTCCAAATCCTCATCGACAACCCTGCGATCGGATCCGAGCTCGTGGTCAATAATGTTGAGTACTTGAAAGTATGGCGACACAGCGGCTGCGAAAGGGGAACTACAATGCTGACCAACTATATGTAGACCGTGCTAGTGGCCGAGTACTTCTTTGACACGGGTATCTACTTTCCCAAGATATCCATTGTTCTCTTCTACTGGACGTTAATTCCCAGGGTTCTGGAAACCTTGAGAAGAGTGTTACTCGGTATCTCGATTTATCTCGGTTGTGCTCTGCTCGCGTCAGTGCTCACAAATACTCTCATATGCCTGCCTTTCTCCGATAACTGGTACGCTTGACGACCTGATTTGCCGAATCCTTGGAATTGACAGACATCAAACAGGTCAATCGAAAATCAACTCAAGTCAGCTTGGAATTCGTACCCTTCCTTCTGTATTCAGTGGGCTCTCAACTTCTCCACGGACTTGCTCAGTAGGTCCCGAAGGTCTCGCACGCTTTGTTGCTTGTCTAACATGGTCTCAGTATTTGTCTACCCATTCTTCCTCCTCAAACACTTGAGATTGCGCAAGGAACAAAAGATTGGCCTCATTGGCGTCTTTTCCTTGGGAACGATCACATTGATGGTCAGCCTCTCACGATTCATCGCATACAATGTTACCGACTTTGAGCTTGAGGACGAATCCGGCAGTACGTTCCATCACCAAAGCCTTTTTCAAATGCATAAACTGACCCATTATAGACACATTAACTCTCGCCGAAATGAGTACCGCCGTCATTGTCGTTTGTCTCCCGGGCCTCCGAACATTCCTCGTACGATCGAAAAAGTCGACCAATCGCTCGTCTTCACACCAGCTCAGCGGCTATGGCAACCACACAAGGATCGGAGTAGGACAAACATCCAAGACCGGCGCACATAAAGGACAAGGGCCGCCATCATCCTACGCAAAATGGGGCGTGAGAGATGATGAGATCGAGTTGGTAACTCACATACGCGTTTCCCACGAACTGGCGAATCCCGACGCCTGCAGCGCGAGCGAACAAAGTGCGACGAGTCGAAATTTAGGGTTATAATCTTCACAATAGAGTTTGGCGTTGGAGGAAATAAATTACATGATTTACGAACCACGAGATATTGGGATTGGACGGCATAAATGGACGTGTTATTACACCAGAGGCTTCACAAAAGATGGCAATTGCATTTTGGATAGACGAACAGAGTATGATATCATTTGGCATCTCTCAGTAAGTGCGAAGCCTAGAAGTTCCATATTAGACGGAAGATAGGCCTCAATTGTTAACTCAGAAATCAACCCCCTACTGAGAGTACTACTTACTGACCAACATAAGTGACCTGCCGCCTTGACACCAAAGACTACCGTGTGTATCTGGGGTCTAACAAACAATAGATCAGACCGCCTCAAGTGGGTTGCCTCCTCATATCTAGTCATCCTGTGTATTGTCACATCTGGCTCGACAGGCGGGTTACTCAAAAGCACCTGTGATCACCGTGTTCTCTACCCCAGTATTATTGAGATACTCCTGCCATACAAAAGGAGGCAATAGAATAAATAAGCTTGAAGTTAAACTCTATACTAGGCTTGAGTCATAAGAATCTACCTGTCATTGTTCTCGCAACTGAAGGCTCCTCCGATAAGTCCCTGTGAATAAGCATCGATGATGTTTTGAATAACACCATAGGTTCCACCAATAGTCAAGAAAACAGATAACGCAATCATCAACCAGTTAAGATAGTAAACAATAACCTGCCACATCTTTCCCTTTCGGTAGTGCTGGTGGTCATAGACCCAAAGATATCCAGGCAAGCCCAGTGCGAGAGGCGAAAAGGTGAGACTTCCAGCGAGAGCCAGGAGGTAGTTGAAGATGGGGATTCCAGAAGCGAGAAGGAACGAAACAGCCGACATGGCAGTCGTGCATCCCAGCCAAACTGCCCAGTGTACCACGGTGTTCTTCTGGAAGTGCTCTGAGTGTCGGAGGAGTCGGACGAAGAGGTATTTGGCTGCGACGTGGACATACAGACAGGCACTGACAAGGAGACCAGTAAGACCAATACCATAAGCGACCTTCTTGATGGTAGGACCTGCACTTCCCAGAGATGGAGAAGCCACCCATTGACCGCAGTACTTGTAGACTACAAGCGAGAAAGTGAGGTATGAAGCAGTGACGATACCCATGCAGAGGTAGACAGCCTTGTTGTAGTCTCGAGGTCGACGCATCTCAGAGATAACTGGCAGAAAGGCGGAAGTTCCAGCACCGCTGCAGAAGATTGTAGAGACTGACGTGATAGCCGCAACAAAAGTGGGATTGCCGATGACATGGTAGCCAAACTCATAGTCTCCAGTCTGGGGAGCGGCAGCAGGTCGATCGAGGGTTGTAACACCGACGCTAAGACATGTAAGTAAAGAAGGGACAGTGGATACAAGAGACTTACACGACGATGAAAACAGCAACATAGACGGTCAAGAAGCCAGCCCACGTAAGCCACGCAATATTCTCAAACTTGCGTACACTTGCGAGAATCAGAACTGCGATTGTCGCCACTAACATGAACCAATTGGTGCAGATAGCATGGTTGCTAAGAACATTGAGCGCAACAGATGTACCGAAGATGCCTGAAGCACCGACGATGGCGTATGTGACGAGGAACAAAACTCCAACGACCTCTGACACGATGGCTATTAGTCTTTGTGCATACAAACAAATAGAGTCAGGCTTTCTTACCCTTCAGCCAAGTACCGCCAACTACATTCGCCATATCCGCGATGCTATGGCAGCCAGCATGTCTGTTTCGGAAGTTTCCTTGGACAATGGCGCAGTAGGTATTGAGGCCTTGCCACCCTAGGACATTGATCGCACCAGGGAGAGCACCAAGGACGAACATGGCACTCGGAATTGTGAGGACACCAGTTGCGAAAATGACTTCATAAAGGGTTAGCTTCACCTTCAAAAACATATTACAAAGACTTACCCTTCAGAAAGATGACAGACGCCTGAATCCACCCAACAGTGCGGAAGTCAACCTTGCCAGGAATTTTCTGGAAAACCTCCCCATCATCAACGCCCTCCTGTCTTCCAAGCTCAATGCTTCCATTGCTGAGCATGCCACCAGACTGCTTCTCGCCTTTCTCTCCTTCAGAAGAACTCATATTGGCCGAAGTAGTGTTCATAGACAGATGATGAAGAAACAAGATGGATGATGCAGGACTCAAAACGGTGGGATCGACCTGTCTATTATCACTTGTCGATCAACACCGGCAGTCTTTGCCAAGCTCAACTTTATCAAGAACCCAGCAATATCTCCTTGTGAATGCTTCATCAAAGTCCAATGATAAGGTCTGGGGTAAGAAAACAGCCCCTGTAAAACTCTGGGGAAGATCCTGACTCGTAGAGTGATAAGAGAGTTGGAGCATAGCGTTGGAGTTGGAGACTAGCGTGAGATTAGTTCTGGGGTGAATGATACCCCATGATAAGTTGGTAGCCCGATAAGCGTCATTACCCCTCTTAGTTATCGGTATTGGTGTAATCTCTGGATTGGAGACGCGGGGAGACTGCCGCATGCGTAATTCTTGAGGGTCCAGATTCTAGAATCTTGACGTATTTCTAGCCAGAGCTATCTGAACCGCTTAACTTCCTGGAGATTATTCACATCATTATTGCATTGCATATCGTGTTCAAGTCCTCAATTGATCTCCACTTCTTCACATTGTCACCAAACAGACGTCGCCATGCCTAAGCGTATTCTGTGCTCGTATGGAGTCGATGTTGATGCCGTTGCTGGTTGGCTTGGCTCCTATGGAGGTGAAGATTCACCCAGTGATATCTCCCGTGGCCTATTCGCTGGAACACATGGAACTCGTCGAATGTTGAAGCTGTTCGACAAGTACAACATCAAGGCGACATGGTTCATTCCCGGACACAGTCTTGAAACTTTCCCTGAAGAATGCGCAATGGTCAGAGATGCCGGGCATGAAATTGGGCTCCACGGTTCGTGATATGACTGTCTCAAGTTGGCCACTAGAACTAACGACAATCCAATAGGCTACTCTCATGAGAATCCTTCCGACATGACACTAGAGCAACAACGTGATGTCTTGGAAAAGACTCATAAGATGCTCACAGAGTTCTGCGGCAAACCTCCTCGCGGAAGTGTCGCCCCTTGGTGGGAGACTAGTAAGGAAGGAGTTGATCTGATGCTGAGCTATGGCATCGAGTATGATCACTCAATGTCTCATGATGATTGCCATATGTACTGGCTACGAACTAATGATAGCTGGACCAAAATCGACTATAAGCAAAAGGCTGAGACCTGGATGAAGCCATTAGTCAAGGGCCAGGACACAGGACTTGTTGAGATTCCAGCAAACTGGTATTTAGATGAGGTGAGTTTCGGCAGTCATTGATGCAAGACCCAAGCGCTAACATTCATCACAGTATGTCAACTGAACGTGCGACAATACTGCCGAGAATGATTCTGACACTTTGACAGCCTTCCTCCCATGATGTTCATCAAAGATGCCCCCAACAGCCACGGCTGGGTCAACTCTCGCGATGTTGAAGACCTGTGGCGAGACCACTTTGACTACTTCTACCGCGAATATGCTGATGATCCCGATCAGATCTGCGTGTTTCCTCTCACAGTTCATCCGGATGTTTCCGGTCGGCCGCATGCACTGCTAATGCACGAGAGGTAAGAGCGGGAATAATCAGCCGAGCTCGGGCTAACGTCGGACAGATTGATTGAGTATATCAACAAGCATGAAGGCGTTGAATGGGTGACGATGGAGCAGATGTGTGACGAGTTCAAGAAGAAGAACAAGCCACCCAAGGGAGCTGTGATGCCGAAGGCTCAGGAGCAAAAATAGGGTGTTATTGGTAGTAACATATAAAAACGTTTCTAGAGCCTGTGATCAAACCTCAAGCGGAAGATCAACCGAAGTTTTTGTGAATGAGTATTTCCCTGTACTTTTCTAGCCCAACACCAATTATGTTGATGAAAGGCCATTGCGTATTACTCTTGAAGAAATGTGCCCATATCTTCAGAACTGCCAGGGATAAGTTGCTTAGATCTCGAAAGTCAAGAAGACTTGGGTTATCCGTGTCAACGCCTTGATCAAAATCGACGACCGTGTATGCCTCCTCCACGATGCATCTCACCCAGTGCAAGATCCTGTCTTCGCTGTCTGGAGTATTGTTAGCTTCAAAAGACGAAACATCCCATCAAAAATAAACTTACCACTCAGTGGATGCTCAGCAATCGTTTCTCCAAGCTTCGATAACCACTTGCTCAGCAACACTGCGCAGTCCAGGCCAGATAGGGAGTGTCTTACGCTCCAGAAGAAAGCCTGGCTTCGGGCGACTCGATCAACTCCAAGTCTGACTGGGATGCCGATCATGTGCGCTGAGTAGAGGAGTGCAGCAATAACGCCGTCACTTCGCTCGATATCGGGACTGCTTGCGATGGCATTGGCGATGCGTTGCGGATCACGTGTCTCGAGTTGTCTGTAAGGACCCAAGTGCAGATATATGCGCACATATGCTAGTGATAGAAGAGAACTGGAAGTGAAGGGGATCGGTCCATTCTCGTTGTTTGGGTCAAGGGTTGACTCTGGTGCTTGTTGCCAGCACGAAGTCCACGAGCGCAAGCCTCGCTCGAGTTTCTCAACCTCTTCGCTTGGGAGGACAGCCGAGCTGCTGGTGACCGGAAGGCTTAGATCTCGCACGATGTGTATTCTCTGGAGCAGTCCATGGAGCAGGACATAGTTACCCAATGGCGTAGGAATCGGGAGTAGTGGCGCTGTGTCATTCTTGTTCTTAAGCAGTAATGATAACGCTTCTCGGAAGAACAACTGTGGCTCCTGAATCTCTTTTGTCGCAGCGCGCCATAACGCTGGTGTCGGAGCTTTCCACTCCTTTGTAGAGCATGGTAGTCGGAGACCAATCTCGTTACTACGGAGTGTTGGGTAGATATTGTATGCGATGCTGTGAGTATGAAGGAAAGAGAAGCCGATGAGCTTGGAGCGTCTGTTTGACTCTTGCTTAATCCACGTCTTCCATTCATGCCACAATGAGTTGCCGTCACTTGGCTGATCTGATGGTGTTGGCGATGCGGGCTCATCGACGTCTTCAAGACCAGAGTTCCGCAAGACTTGAGTAAGAATGCCTTGCAACACAAAGGACTCCTGGACCATCGGTGCTTTTGGCTCCCAAGTCGCAAAGCCCATGAGTGTGATCAAGGCCCTGATAGTCTCAACTGCCGAATCAGCCTCCGTATCGCCACGTCGACCACTCTGCGAAGTGACATGTGGTATGGGAAGCGTTGAGAGACCAAATGAGTCCGAACCATTTCTCAGCCTTTCCATCAACAGAGCTTTTCCGGCAAAGAAAAGTCTTTCTGACGCCCTCGACTCGAAGCAGTATTGCGCCCCGATGGCCGCGATGCCAAAGATCAGCTCAGGTGAGTGATCGTTGATCTGCCATGTTGGGATGTGGATGAATGGCATATGTGTGTGAAAGCCGCCGAAGAAAGAGGTCACGTAACGCGTGAGAGCGTGTCTCGATGGGACACAGAAAGAAGGGTCCAGGAGATGCGAGTGATCAAGGATGGATGCTTTGAGCTTCGATCTTTGCTCCTCGGTGACTTTGAAAGGCCGTGTTTCGGGGTCAATAGCCCTTGGATCTGTCCGTGTGAGTGATCACATTGGCTAAGGTCTGAAGCAGGGACTTACTATCTGTGTCGGAGACATAGTTGGATATCCGATTACCCGTAGGCGCAGAAGGAAGCCATGAGCTGAACGGTGTTCCAGCTCGGGTTGGAGCTCCTTGCCGAGGCGAGGTCTCTTCATTACTGTCTTGTGTAAGCCTGGGGTCGATGGGTTCCTCATGCCTGTCAGGGTCGCCGAAGAAAGGGCTCCACTCAGCAGAGAGGCCGACGCCGTCGAGGAAACTGGTGAACTCGCGAAAGTGGGTGTCAAAGTCGACGCCTTTTCGAGTCAGCTGAGTTCATCGAGAGACAGATTGTACTGAGAGACTTAGTACTGACCGCTGTCGAGCATCTGTGGTGACAGAAAGTTTGGAACGAATTGGCCATCGTCTGCACTTGCTGGATGTTCTACTTGTTCGTCTACTGTCTGAGGAACAGCAACGGGGAGCTGTATCGGCTGCTGTGTTCTCGCACAGAACCATGGGTCAACACTTAGGCCGGAGAGCGACACAGCTGCAGCCAAATCTGGGTCGGCGATGCTGTCATTCCTCTGCTGTACTACAGTCACATTCCCTTGCGCAGGTTCAGGTGATGGTACGTCGCCCTCATGCTCGGCTAGCCTCTGATGACGCGTGAGCAAGTCACGTCTCGCAAAGGATGCCCCGCAATGGCACAGAAACGGCTTCTCTTTAGTATCTACTCATCCACCGTCGCATCAGCCAGCTACCCTATCTTCGATCAGATAGCGAGACTCACGTGTTCTGACGTGCCTCTCGAGATGCTCCGTCCGCTTGAAGGTGCGCCCGCAATGTGGACACATGCGTAGATTGACTCCAGCTCCATTGTAACCCACTCTTTGTCGCTTGTTTGGAGTCTCGTATGTGCCGATGTTGTCACTCATTCTGCAGCAATGACTCCAAGAGTTGGAGAGGAATTGCGATGGAGGAGGCGAATGGGGTAGTGCATCGTTTATCATGGAGTCGGAGGTGGGGCAGGCTTGGAGTAGCGTCTGATAGCGTTATCTTTGGCGTGTCATCGCGGGGAGATAATCAACTAACGGAATTGGGTGAGCAAAACACGGTACCACGTTAGTCACCTATTGCTCAGCATGACGGGCAGTTTGTGGAGGTGGTTTACAGTAGATTGCCCGAGTTGAAGAAATTACTAAAGAGATACTAGCAGCTTTACGGAGTAGACTAAGGGGGAATGAAATTCTGGAGGTCAAGGCGAAGCACGTAACTTGTAGCCATGGAACGCTCAACAGGCACGCACCGCAAATGATCAAAGAAACAAAGTAATGTTCCTTCTACAGGCGCCAGGGTCCGGCTCTACAGATGTGAAGATTCTCTAACGCGTCGGACCTCATTCAGCACATCCTCCGTCTCTTCAGCCGTCGACTTCCCCTCCTGCTCCCAGTCAAAACTACTCTCCAGTGCCTTCGCAACGTTCAAAACCTTTTTCTCTTGCCAAAGACCACCAACGATCTGCAACCCAACCGGCAACGAAACACTCTCATCATCAACAGCCTTGGACCAACCGACAGGAAGCGACAGAGCAGGATTACCCGTGACGTTGAAGATGGCAGTGTTGTTCGTCATCCCAATGCTCGGCTCGAATGACTTGAGCACAGACTCTCGTGAGCCGTGACGCGGTGCGACAAAGGGCGTTGTTGGCATGATGATGACGTCGTACTCTTTGAACTTTGCTTCGTATGCGTCGCGTATTTGGCGGCCGATGTTGACTGTCTTTGCGTAGAGGCCCGGGAAATTGCGTGAAAGATAGATGCCGTTGATGACAGTGTTCTTGGTGGATGGGAAGAGCTTCTCGAATCCAGAGGATGTCCAAGGAAGACGGGCGTGCTCGAACTCAGTCAGGTAAAGACCTCGACGACCATTGGCTTGGCCCAGGATGCCTGCCGAGCCGGATATGCGTTGCTGGATGGTCCATATCGAAGGGCCTTCTTTGTGAAGAGGAATCGATACTTCGCTCACACTGGCACCAAGAGACTTGAGCCTATTGATGGTGTTGAAGAAAGTCTGCTTCACACCTGGCTGCACCAGATCGTTATCGTAGCCTTCCTTCAGAATGCCAATTCGAAGACCTTTTACTGATGCACTGGCCAATGAGTCCAAGTAGTTGAATGATCCGGGTGATGGTGCACCAAGTGATCGGTCGTCGATGCCGTCGTATCCCGCAATGACATCCAAGCAAGCAGCAACTTCGTCGACTGTCCTGGCGAGTGGTCCGGCATGGTCATCAATCTGATCGCCACTCGTGATACCTGTATATGGGACAAGTCCATGCGTTGGCTTGAACCCGACACAACCGCAGAGTGAGGCTGGTACGCGGATGCTACCGCCTTGATCTGTACCGATAGCAATGTCAGCGAGACGGCCCGTGACAAGAGCCGCGCCACCAGAGGTACTGCCGCCGGCCGAATACCCTGCTTTTCGCGGGTTGTCGATCGTGCCCTGCGCACTTGTGAAGGAAGATGTGGAGTTGCAGAAGTTTTCACACGTCGCGGTTCCTGTAATCACAGCTCCAGCCTCAAGGGCTCTCGTGACAACAGTCGCATCAGTCGACGGCGTCCAAGCGGGGAATGCATCGCTTCCAAAGAACTGCGGTACGCCAGCAACAGCGATACAGTCTTTCAGGCAAACAGCTTTTCCCGCCAATGCTGAGCGAGAAGACTGGTCGCCTTCGATTATGAAACGATGTGCCCAGGCATGACCGTAGCTTTGCTCGTGTTCTTCGAGAAGGTGGATGTTTTGACGGGGAAATCTCTCGATATCTGGGACGGGCTGATAGTCTGGGAGATTGGAGACACGGTCTGCGCAGTCGTGAACTGCTGCGAGGAGAAGTTGGTATTCTGATGACTCTTCGGGGCGGATGGTGAGGTTGAGAGGGTCGAGTAGGGCCTCGACGTCACCTGCCTGAACAGGGTTGCCACTAGAACAGAATATTAATATCCTTCTTTGACCTGTGAGTTCGACCTAGGAGTTGACTTACGGTAGAATCTCTTTGAAGAACACAGACATGGCTGCGGCGTAGATCGAGGCGGAATGGCGTGAGGGAGGTGTCGAAACGTACTAGCCAAGACAATCACAACCTAGAGGTAAACTTATCAGTTTATCAACATAGATAAAGCAACCCCATCATTCTATTTCTAAGGACATGATTGTTAATCTCAACCCGCTTCGTGGTCCACTCAAGCCGTTGGAGTACTTTGACCATGGCTGGAGACTTACCCCAAGATCCCTGTTGGGGTACTCCAACATCATGACATGGCGGGTCTTGATGGGACAGGTAGTGTGGCGATATGACCCAGGACTGGAGATAACATGGCAATCGGTTCTGTAGGTAGACGGTCTTGATGTCGCTTCTCGAGATTGAAATCGGAGAGCTTTGTAGAACAGAGAGTAGCAATTGCAATGGCGCCCAACGCAGAATTGCCATCTCGGATGAAAGCAGCGTATATCGCAGAGGTGAGCATGACTACTAAGAATTAGCCAGACGAGTGCTAATACTTCCCAGTATAACAAACCGTATGCCTTGGGGGAGCGGCCGCTGCCCACTATCGGCGACACCGACATTCTCGTGCAGGTTCACACCGCTGGATTCTGCCACTCAGACCTGCAAGCTTTGCAAGGCGAGTTCGAGAAACCTGCGCCAATTGGTCTGATCCCATCTCACGAGATAGCCGGCGTTGTCGCCAAATTGGGTACAAATTACCAAGGAGAGCTCAAAGTCGGCGACCGTGTTGGCGTCCTCAACTTCAAGCATGCTTGCGGCTCATGTGTAGGATGTCGCTTGACGCAACGAAGAGGCGAAGAGCTTGACCCTAGATTCTGCGATAACCGGGAAACCGCTGGCTTCTTGCACGACGGAGGGTTTGCGGAGTACGCGTCTGCTGATCCGGAGACAACCGTGAAGCTGCCGGACTCGATCTCGTTTGAGCAAGCGGCCCCGCTCACTTGTGCGGGAGCAACGGTCTGGGGAAGTCTTGAGGGCGCCACAGCGGGAGTAAGCAGAGGAGAGACAATAGCGATCGTGGGTATCGGTGGGCTTGGGCACTTGGGTGTGCAGTTCTCAAAGGCGCTCGGGTTCAAGGTCGTTGCGGTGGATAGCAGAGAAGCTGGTCGACAGTTAGCATCAGACGTGGAGAACTCAGCACTGAAGCCTGACCTTGTTATTGACTCTTCCGACACTACAGCGGCGTCAAAAGCCATCTTCGACTTCACAAACGGCGAAGGTGTCGCTGCCGCTGTTGTCTGCACGCCGTCGTCGGAAGCGAATCGGTGGGCGCTCAATGTTCTCAGGATCAAAGGAACGCTGGGAATACTCGGTCTTCCTCAGAACCCTTGGCAGTTCGACGCTGCGCCGATTGTGTTTCGGGAGCTGACGATCAAGGGGAGTTACGTGGCGGGGAGAGCGGCGACGGAGAGGATGATGAAGGTCGTGGAGGAGGCGGGCGTGAGGTCGCATTTAACTGTGTTGCCGTTCGAGAAGATTCAGGGCATTGTTGAGATTTATGAGGATGCGGCGTTCAAGGGACGGATTGTTGTACAGATATGAGTATCGAAGAAACATGTCTGCTGTAGCTATCTTTTTCAACGTGTGTCAGTGAGATCAAGCAGGTTTTCAGGTGCTATCAGACCATGTTTGCAAGAATTTAGGGGGAAGGCTGCTGAAGCTGAAGCTTGAGCAGAAGCCGAGTCTTGGTGGTTGGAGATAAGGATGATTCATGTGACTCCACAGCCTCCCTTCTCAGAACCATTCGACAGTCAATCACGTAAAGGCATTCATCTACACAAGTCACTGTGATACTGCACATGTTTTCTGCTTGGCGATCAAGCCCGACATCTTTTACATCTAGCAAACTAAATTCACCCTTGTTTCTTTGGCATCACGCAGGCATCCAAGTGCGGCAACAGACTTGTTCATGTACTCATTACTGTGAGCTAGATGTGTTATTTGCAGTTGAGACCTGTGGCTGAGAACTCATAATCGCCACGCTCGTCATGTACTCAGTTGCCTGGTCTTTCATCTTCTTGATGTCACTGTAGACAGCCTGGGAATAGATGTGGATGGCTCCCGCCCACCCCGCCCACCCTGCCCTCCAGGAAACTGCACGCTCCGGCATGACAGCGTACTGGGGATACCTGTGTTTACGCAGTCCGGGCTCCACCTTCAACATTGCCTTTCTCTCCCCGTTCAAGGTCATAACCCCCCAGACCCTTCCTCCTCCGATGCATAGGTGCTCTTGAATTTGGACTGGTATAATTGGTTGCGCTTCAAGTTCTCCTCCGACAGATGGCGACGTCGAATGAGGCCACTCTTGGCCTTCTTCCGCGTGCCCTGCTCGGCCGCCCACACTCCCGGGGAGTGTCAAACCGTCCAAAGCCGTTGAAGATTGGCGAATCCGATGGTGGTGGTCCCGTCTTCGTGCGAGGTCCATGGCAGGGACGAATGATAGGTCCAAGGATCTGCCAAAAGTCGCCGTGTGACTCAAAGAATCGCAAGTACTTAGCTTGCTTCCTGGACAGACAATATCGAACGTCGACTTGGATGAAGATGCGAGGAGGATCTCAGAATGTGTTGTTGTGAAAAGAGTCCGCAGGTCCCCTCCCTGTGTTGAACAAGGCTGCTGGAATCCCCAGGATGGGGTTCAAACAGCGAGCCTGGAGTGCAAGCAGATGGGCTCTGTGGATGACTGGCCGCTGGCTAGACCCGAAACCATTCGTCGTTCAGTTGCATCATCCAAGTCTTTACCCGCCGCAGCACGGGCAAAAGAACAGTGTCTGACGATGGAACACGAGAGGAGCCAAGATGCAAAGGATTTTGGGAAGTTATGAAAATGGAGAGGGGGTTTTGGAAAGTGAGGGCTTGGGAGCTGGCTTCTGTTCGGGATGCGGTCAGCTTGAGGCTTCTCCCTTCACTAGATCAGTCGACAAACCGGTGATGGCTCAACTCCTCAACGTGAGCGAGATACGATCCTTGCCCCTAGTATCAGCGGTCGAGAGCCGGCGTGCACTGAAATAGTGACGATGAGTGATGCCGAGGAGGGATAATGATGACGATTGCACAGCGAGCTGCTGGCTTATGGAGTGAACACGCAGTAAGAGATGAAGAGGAGGAGGTTCTGTTCGAGGGCCAAGAGAGTGGAAGTAGTGTGGTGCGGGGGAGAACTCGGTGTTAGGGCTTGGATGGAAGGTAAACAAGCTGGCAGTGGCAGAGGGAGGGCAGGAGGTTGCCAGACCGCACCATGCCCCTTTTGGATGAGGGCTCAGGAGTTGGCTGGTCAGCCTTGACTTCAAGGCATCTCATCTCGGCACGCCCTGAGAAAGTAGATGGATAACAGGCCAGTGACAGCGAGTGTTGGCCTTAGTTATGGAGTGGCAGTGCCCTGGCAACCAAATCAGCCTGCAGATTCCAGGCAAGCTTAAGAAGTGGCTGGTCATGAGCCCACGACGAGCTACACTCTCCGACACAGCCCAATTTTGCGCACGGGATTGCAGTCAAGGGTAAAGACTGATAGTTGACTTGGAAGGGGCATAGAAATAGCCTACAGTCATGTTATCACACAGTTGCTGGCAATCTGTCAAATATCATCCGGGAAGCCCCTGCTTGTTCACCCCCCCTGCACCATGTTCACAGATCGAAACGATCACAATCACTGAAAGTAACACCTGCTCAAATAGTACCGAAACAATGGAAGGCACGCAGAAAAGTACACAAGCCATTCTTCTTTAACCAATTGCATAAAGTGCATTTTGAACAAGACAAAGCTGGGCCCCAGTTTCGTGACGCCCCTTAACTCTTTGTCCACCCTGATACAGCAAGGAAAATGCGTTCTTTCCTTGATATAAAACTTCTCTGTTGTGAACCCTGCGACCTGGATTAAGTTGTTCGTCAAGTCAGGTCATGGAAGACTGCCAAGCCACACACTGAGTGTGGAGTCCGGCGTGGAGGCAGCTCTTTGCTGCAGCAGGAGGCTGGCAGTCACTCCAGGATGCCACTTGGCGCGCACCGCCAGCCACTGAAGATACCATGCACCTTAGAGTTGATAAAGGAACACGGCCAGACTTAAGGACTCACAATATGATCTGTAATGGCCCCGCTCACTGCGACTTACGATCATACCCCTTTTGCTGTATATGCCTCTGACTGACGACCGAGTTCATAACCTTGACAATAAGCATCTCAGGCGTTACTCCTCGAGGACTCATAAGATTTATTAATAGCCAAATTAACCGTGAGAATAAGTAAAGGTTATCACAATGAGAATTGGCGACCCTTACCCCGACATGATCTCTGCGAAATATGCAACTTGCAACCACACAACACCCCTTTCAATCCTGACCTTTTGTGCTTGCGCCAAAGTCTATTTCTAGTTCTCGAAGATAGAGTAATGTGTATCTTGGACTGGAACACCTAGTAAAGTCTGCAGTCAATGAGAGAAAGTGCACCGAGTCGCTGAGCCGACGGACCTATCCAATATGTCTGACACCTACACCTGAACAGTCCTGTGTGTACTGACGAACTCGGATTATGTGATATGTTCATTCTGCTCTCAAAGACGATATTTTTGACAGTGTCCCTCGAATGTCTGTGAATCGTCATTAAAAGAGTATCCCCAAATCGAATAGACCATGATTCAGTCGTCTATAAAAACGTGTCCCATAGTTTCGTACGTCAGACCCAAACTGTTGTCAATCTCTACCAGTGGAGACAGTGCCCGGTATGTCCCCACCACAGCCTGTTCTGAGTCTTTTTCTCCCTCCTTCAAACTGTAGACTTTTTCCTTCTTCCTCACAATCAGCAGTTCTTCCTTCGTCAACACAAATCGACACACTCGCCAAGATGTCGGAGAACTCAAACATGAAGCCTTGCGCCCTGCTGTTCGTCGCCTCTCTCTTCCCTCATACACGAGTCCGATGCTGACTTCACTCTAGTTTCGGCAACGCTGGCACCATCATCGCTGCTACTCCCAGTCTTGGCCTTCGTACCAAAATCAAGACTCAGGTCGGAACGGTCATTCCACCGAGTGCGGATCCATATTTCGGATTTCACTTGACTATCCGTCGTGATCGCAGACAACTTGTCAGCGAAGATGAGGGGCACGGCGTTTGCTTTTCCTGTAAGAGAGACACCTAAAGAACAACTGATACAGCACATCTGACATTTGAGTCTAGACGATCCCTCCCTCGATGAGCCTGTTTTGGCAGACTTTCGCATTACAGTCAAGTTTCCCCGCGGCGGTGTCTCCTGTGACTATCTCCCAGTTCCAGAGGATGTCCAGGCCAAGTTTCCCACCGTTCAGAATTGGCAAGGCTTTACATATCTTATCGTGCACCAGCGCGCTTTCGGGATTGTGCTCCAGGGTTATTCCCAGGGGTATTATAACTCCCCCGACCCCAAGCTTGAGGCGTGGGCTAGACACAATGGCAAAATCAACGACGTCTCGCTTCTGGATGTGCTTCAGCAAAGTGATTTCTACTTCGTTGTGGAAATGGATATCGACTCCTGCAGGGAGGTCATGGGAGACGAGGGCCTTCCTCCAAGATTCACGTATGGCTACCCCAGGCAGCCTACTAACGTCGAGGAGATGAAGGAGCTTGTCAACGGCAGTCACGGTGGCGCTTTTGCGCCGTGTTATAAGTGAGTATATCTGTTTCATATCGAGTCCCGCATGTACTAATGCCCATGGTAGCTTTGACAATGACGACTCATTTATCACGGCTATCAACCAAAGTGTTGTCCAGGACAACCTTTGGCTGCACGAAGAAGCCGAGGTGGTATGTATTACAAAATTCGATGAATATTAACAGGGCTCACACAACTATAGATAGCCCAAGAGCGCTTACAAGCATACTTCGGAGCACCTCCAGGGAATATCCCTGCAGGCACCAGCCTTACCCTTCTGGTTTCGGTAACAGAGGAGTGGAAGAACTCCCACGAGCTCGCCTTGAGACGTTCACTGATAAACAGTATTCTGATTCAAGTTAAAATATATGATGTGGGGTCTGAGGACTCTCAGCCAGCTCTATGGTAGGTCCAGTTAAGAAAGTTTGCGAAACACAAATTAGCGACCTCGTTTGATAGGGTTGGTAAGATCATTGAGCGGGGTGGTTCCATTCCCGAACTTCAGTCACATCTGACTGGAGACAACGAGTTGGTCCTACGAGTTCGCACCGCTGCCAAGCCCCAGGTTCGCGTCTACCCCTATAACGACCGCGCAACCGCCGATGAAGCTCTTTCGAAAGGAACGCAGAACTAGAACTCCGTGTCCTTAGTATTGAATTCTGGCATGGAAGAGGTCAAAAGAAGGGTCAAAGGCATGCGAGCATTCCGGCCCAACGCCCCGCCGACGAACCCAAGGGCATAGGGCATGGCCGTGGACGCCGAAGGTGACATCCTTGCGCCGCACCTACTTGACAGAGACCAGATGAACACGGCTAGTGAGGTCCTCTTCAAAATGAGAGTTCACCGTGCTGTACTTCGTGGTACAGGCTTCTATGAAGCGTTCAGGACGACACAAGACCTGAGGATTGGCTGTTTGCCCGTAATAAGTTACACCCGGCACGATGATCCCTACCTCATTCAGTGCATTCTTGAAGAGGCGAATTACTTTGACCGAAATCGCTTCCGGGCGTATCTGAGTCAGCGTGCGCTCAATATTGGTATCATCATCGGCGTAAGTTCTTTACTCCTAGTTACGTCCACGACAGCTTGATATTAATGAATCTCCTCAGGAACCGGGATCTGGAAAGACCACGCTCGGGGTGGCTGCAGCCCTCGCTATGGAGGCCAAACTCGGGAAGATTTTGTGTTCCAATCCTTCACATACGTCGATAGACCTCTTTGCCAGTCATCTTGACACTAGAGGTCGTGCCGTAGCGGCGCGCTACAATACCATCCTACCCGCGGGCCACCCTGATCGCCGCCGCCATCATCTGGTGATACGCATGTACGCGCAGAACGATGAAATGATGGCGGTCGCTCAAATTCTGAACAACCCCCAGGCTGTTGACTGGGCGCAGAACATGGACGAGTTCTTTCGAGAAACACACTGGAAGATGCACCTCTCTCTGGCCTACTGGACCTTGGCCATCTTGCGGTCGAACGCTGTGCCAGCCCTCGACGCCGACTGCAAGCTGAACCTGCGCACTATCCAAAGCTCCCTCGACAACGACGCCAGTGTCTTACCACTCCGCCAGGTAAAGTCCCATCGTTCTTAATGAACCAACGTTGATACCGTACTAACAGAGCCAGGTCGCGCGTGGACACATCAGCCGGGCGCAATATACCGCCACGCCGGATGCCATTCCGATCCTTCAGAGAACTATGTGCAGGATCTTACGCCAGGCCGATTTTCTATGTGTGCATCCGACGGAAGCGGAGATCTCGCCGCTTCCTCTTTGGAAGAGTCTTTTTGCCAAAGGTCTCGTAGTGGATGACGCCGGCAAAAGGGAGTGAAATGCACCATACAAGATGCCGCACTAGCTAACCATGATGCAAAGTGAATCGAGCCGACTTTTACGGTCTCTGGGGGAACAGCCTCCTTCCCGTCTTCCTCATTGGAGATCCTGGTGAGAAGCCTGTGGTTCTCACAATCGACGAGGCTGACGAGAATGGCAACTTGCTGAATCGCTTTGTCGCAGACGGTGCAATTTCGCCATTGAAATTCCTCGTGGCAGCTGGCATCCCCGTGTTCCGCTTGTAGTTCTACCCGGCGCTGACTGAATATTCTACTGGTGGGCTGTGTGGTATCATGGATAACACATCGGCGACGTCTAGGATGGTATGAGTGAGAGGATACTGCTAATTGTATGCATGATGTGAGGAACAGACTCAGACGTTGTGATCTGTTCGTACTGCTCGCACATTGTGGGCTTCTTCTTAGTCATTCAACTGAGGAAATACAAGTTCTGGCCGTTACCGATGCTTCTTTAACAATTGCTAACCATGTGAAAGTAATCTGAATGTACAGAAGCTCTAGATTTATTAGTACTCTTTGTGAGTGTTAATCTGTTTATAAAATTAAGAACAACTGGTAATACCATGGGACATGACATGGTGGTACTGACAAATTGCAATAGCCTTTTTCTATTTTGAAGATAAAGTCTCACAATTCTTCATGCGCGTCGTCAAATGAGCCGCCGACCAGTGATGGCCGCACGTGAAATTCAGTGGCTGCGCCAATCGTCAAAAACACCAAAAAAAGCGCCGATCAGTGAAGAATCTAGATTCATCCATCTCACAAATGACGAGCCCCAACCGTTTCTGGGTGCAACACACCAACATCTTATCTTCGGGGCAAACCGTCCGAGCGGCAACGCCTGAACCTTGATTAGTGCCACATCAGCAGTGAGAATGCATGTCATTGTGCTGCGGGGTCTAGCCTGAGGGTGCCATCGTTTGCGGCGGATGGTATGCCACTGGTCGGTTTGTGGCGCCCTGTAGAGGTGTGCTCGTTATCAATTGACATCAGATATCTTTCACCGACTTTGTTATCTGTCTTTGGGATCACGTCATTGTGTTGGTTGAGATGATGTAAAAACATCACCGCCTCTGCCTTTGGTGTTCTTCCATTGCACCCTGCAATCTCAGCAAAATGTCGCTGCCTACGAGCTCACCGTTCAGTCCCAGCGGCGAACGTCGAGGAAGACGACATTCTATCTTTGCTGATTTTATTCCAGACGATCTCACGTTTCCACCGCCGTTCATCGACCCGACTCCAAATGTAGAGGAGATTCTCAACCGCGATATTGACGAGTGCTCCTCTGGAGATGAGCACCGCGATGAAGCAGCCATCGAAGACCCCCGATACGTAAACGAAACAGATGTCCAACTTGCCTTTCATCCAACAGGCATCGCTTTCGGACAAGGCTTCTCCGCCGTTCCCCCTTCAAGCATCGATATCCCGCCCCCAAACCCCCACGACTTTGAGCAATCCCTTCGCGCTGAAGTTTCCCTCCTCCGCGACAACGATATCATACCACCGAGACATCCCCCAACAGGATGGAAGACCACGAAGCTCGGCCATCTGTATCGGCACCTGTTTAGTACGCGCGTGCACGATCACGACAAGCCGCTCTTCGCCTCGGAAGATTCGGGCGAGACCACGCCGCTGTTGAGGGACAGAGTTGTGAGGTTCGATGGGGTACCGCCAACGCCAGGGCCGGATGAGGTTCATAAGCGCTGGGAGGAGGCGCTGGCGTCGCATAAGATTGATACGACATGGCAGCGTGAGACCAAGACGTTGATTCAATACGCGCTGCCTCTTATCGTTACTTTTCTTCTACAGTGAGTGCATCATATGTGTTCAAATGAAGGATGAGACTGACAGCTCAAGCTACTCGGTCACTGTCGCTTCTGTCTTGACAGTCGGTCGCCTTGGAATGGAGGAGCTTGCGGCTGTCAACTGTAAGTACTCAGCATCTTTCTCAACCTGATACACATGCTAACATCTGTAGTGGCCACTATGACTGCCTCGATCACTTACTACGTCCCAGTCCAAGGCTTAGCAACGTGCCTCGACACTCTATGCGCACAAGCCTATGGCTCCGGCCACAAGCATCTCGTTGGCCTACAGGCGCAGAGAATGACCTGGCTTCTTTGGATAATCATGATTCCTATTGCTATCGTCTGGTGGTTTTCTGAACCCATCCTTGCCGCAGCCGTTGGCCCAGGCCGCACAACGCAATTGGCCGCTTTGTACATGCGAATCCTCATCGCAGGCATGCCCGGTGTCAGTGCCTTCGAGAGCGCAAAGAGGTTTGTTCAGAGTCAGGGTTTGTTCCATGCTACAACTTATACGCTTTTCATTGGAGCGCCTTTGAGCTTCTTGCAAAATTGGCTGTTTGTGTTCAAGTTTGGATGGGGCTTCCCTAGTGCCGCCATCGCGATGGCTGTCACTCACAACCTCCTCCCAATTCTTCTCATTTTGTACGTGCGGCTGTTTGAGGGATATGAGTGCTGGAAGGGTTTCAGCCGCAAGGCTTTCACAAACTGGGGTGAGTCAAGTTCAGTCTCGTCAACACATCCTTTCTGACTTTCGCAGGCCCAATGATCAAGTTGGCTTTGCCAGGAATGATCATGATCGAAGCCCAGTTCTCCGTGCTGGAGATTCTCACCATCGCCGCAGGGCGGTTCGGCACAGCACAACTAGCAGCTCAAGGAGTCTTGGTGACCGTTACATCAATGTCTTTCAATATTCCTTTCCCGTTGGCCATCGCGACCTCGACTCGAGTTGCAAACCTTATTGGGGCTGATCTGAGCAAGGCTGCGCGGGTAACAGCGAAAGTGGTGAGTCCAGCCTCATCTTCATCACCGTACACACTAACTGACCTCATAGGCCATCTTTGCTGCACTTGTCGTTGGGAGCATCAACTTGACAATCTTCACGACCCTCCGAAAACAAATCCCCGCCGTGTTCACGGAAGATGAGCAAGTGATTGACATTGCATCCAATGTCATTCTTGTTTGCGCTGTCATGCAAATCTTTGACGCTTTAGCAGCCGTCTCTCATGGCCTTCTTCGCGGAATCGGAAGACAATCCATCGGATCCTACGCCAATCTCTTCGCATACTATGTGGTCGCTCTTCCAATTGCGCTGGGCACCAGTTTCGGATTGGGCTGGGGGTTAGCTGGACTCTGGGTTGGTCTGACAGCGGGTCTCGCTGTGTAAGTTATACCCTCCTCTGCTTGTTGATGACTTGTGACTGACCTTTTGTGCAGGGTATCTGGCCTTGAGGCCATGTATTTGTACTTTACAGATTGGGAGGAAGCGGTGAAACAGGCTGAGGCAAGAATGCGAACCGAGACGAATAGAAGACGATCTTCGCTGTCAGGCTTGTCACAGGAAAGAAACTAAAATTACTGTGGTCATCTGATACGCTGTTTCATTTGTACATCTTATGAGCGACGGGCGGGCCTTTGTGATTCCTTTTTGGTAGCTTTCCCAACAAGTGTATGGGCATCAGATTGAGCAAAACAGCAAGCAAGCGTTATTCCTTTTAGTTCCTTTAGCGATTTAATTATTTCCTTTTCTTCTGATACTCGTTATGTTCGCGCACATTTCACGGCATTGAAAATGTCATTAAGCGGCGGGTGAGAGATTGCGATATGGCGTAACTTGGTGTTGTGGGGATCTTGGCCTGATCCCATTTTACTGCTAAAGCCGAACAAGCTCATGCTTGGCCTGACCCTTAATGCATTAGCGAATGCCAAAGCGTCCATCATCAGTAACTCAAATCGAATTAAACACTTAGTCACCATCTCTTGGTTAATCTGTTATCTCCAGTTGTCAAAACATCAGGTAAAATGGTGACTAAATGCGGCTAGTCTTCTTGTTACGCCTGTTTTGACGTTACATACATGCGGAGTCAATGATGTCAGATCAATGACGTATGTCGATCTCTTCAATTCAGGGTCTCAAAGAATGACGGCTTAAGTTTGCTGCTATTGCGTTACCCCCTCCATCATCACCGATCTTCAGGGTTCAACCTTACACAATATCATTATTCCCGATGGCAACCCAAACTGTCAACCCCCCGACCACTGATGGTTACCGTGATTCGGACGATGAGTTCAGCTCAGATGATCAAGAGTTCCATGTCGATGAGCGCTCTGGCCGATCTTGGCCGACCAAGATTCTTCACAATGTCATCCAGCCTTTGAAACCCAAGTTGGTAGACATAGGGAAAGTTTCGTCCGCTGATCCTACGCGATGCAAGCCCTCGAGAGGCGCAAGGAAGAGATGCGATGTTCAAGAGAACAAGGTTGAGGGAGTTTGGACCTATGATATGACTCCAAAGACCCCTGACGGGGAGAAGAGGTCCTATGCCAGGAGGATATTGTACTTTGCTGGAGGCGGGTGGCAAGCGCCTCCAAGTGGTAAGTAGGCCATTTTCTTACCGGGAACCCTACTGACGTTTGCAGGCCAGCATTGGACTTTCTGCGCAGAGATGATCAACCGCCTGCAGGATACCAGACTCACCCTCATTTCCTATCCTCTGGCGCCCAAAGACCCTGTTCAAGACTCATTTCCTGCAATCTGCAAGACTTACAGTGTCCTGTTGAAGGAATCATCTGATCTTGGCGAGAGGGTCATCGTTGCTGGAGACAGCTCAGGGGGTAACATCGCCCTATGTCTGGTGACCTGGACAATGAGGGATCAAGATGTACAAGCCGTTCGACCTCCATCTGCCATCCTCGCCATCACTGCAACTACCGACTTACGTCACAATCACCCCGCCATCAAAGAGGTAGACAAGGTTGATCCTATTCTAAGCGAGTCGTCCATCAATGGCACAGCTGGTGCGTGGGCTCCCGGCCACTCGGATGTGAGTCAACAAAGCGAGACGAACTCGGAAAGAACAAATAGGAATGAGAAGCTCGACTGGTCGGCCGATGACCCCCGAGTCTCACCCATCCATGCCGATCTCAACGTCTGCGTCAGGAACAATGTCAAGATCCATGGCATAACGGCTTCACATGATGTTCTGGGACCAGAGGCTGTTGAGTTTAGGGAGAGGTGTAGAAAGGAAGGAGTTGACGGACAGTGGTTGTCATGGGGTGATCAGATGCATTGTTTTCCGTTGGCGTACAAGTATGGCTTGAAGGAGAGTAAGGAGGGGCTTGAGTGGATCATAGATGTTTTGAAGAAATGTTGAAAGATACCCTATATGCTACTAAGATAGAACACAATGGAGTTGACGGTGACTTGGAGTTGTGCGTCGATGATAAGGTGTCCATGATTGCCAGTACTTACCTTGAGGGTCTGGAGGCCTAAACGTGGTTCAACCTACCAGGCTGTTAACGTAGCCAGGAACTAATCTTTTAACATGTAAAGTAAATCAATATTGATGAGAAGGCCGAACCATTGGTGAAGGAGGACCTGAATAAGGGTGATGGAAAGACTCATGCCCGCCCCCCGCCCCCCCCCCCCCCCCCC